GCAAATCAGGAGTTCAGGGTGCTGCCAGAGGGGTAAAGATGCTGGTGATAGGGACAAACCAGATGGATGGGCTGAATCATCCGTGGTCCATTGGAGAGGGTGTTGTGACCCAGATGAAGGAGGCCAGGAGAGTTAAGAGCTCTGGATGGCCACCTCCCACCAAGGCTAATTTGCTATTTAAACTTAATTGCATGTGTTGATGAAATGATCAGCATCATTTCCTGGTAGAATGACATGGAAAGATCTAGATTATACACACCAGTGACTACAACCCATTGAACATTCTCTGTGTGCTTTATCAGCATGATCAATTGTCACAGCCTGCTACAGTAGCTGTTAGTAGCTTCATTTTACATAAGAGCAAACAGAGACTTAGAAAGGTTAAGAGATTTTCCCAGGGTCTCCAGCTGGTGACTGGCAGAGCTAGGGCTGAAACAGGTGACTACTGATCTGTAGTAAGACAGGGCTCCAGGAAGATTTCCAGGAAGCCTGAGAGCCCAAGGCTCTGATTAAGGACCTACTGTTGGCTCAGAGCCAGGCTAGGATGAGCCTTCCCTACCCTGCCAGCCTAGGAGTTCCCTGACACTTCCCAGGAGTCAAGTAAGCCAGTCTTCTCAGATACTATTCAGATCATAAACACACAAAAACACAGTTGGCCTTTTTTCCCAATGGCGTGGGTTCTTTTACTCTGGACAGACCTGGCCTATGGGTCAGAGGTAACAGCTTTGGACAGGCACATAGCCCTGAGGGGCTGACGTGTCCCAGAAAAAAAAAAAAAGGCTAATTTTTGTAGAAACTGGCTCTGTAGTACGTGTGTGTGTGTGTGTGTGTGTGTGTGCATGTGTGTGTGCAAGCACACTTGTGCTCGCATGCATGTGGGGAAAGACTCCCAGTAAAGGGTAACCTATGGGAAAAGGCCTAAGGTTAAAGCAAATGCTACCTGGTCCAGAAGTTGCATTTATCACAGAGAACAGGGATAAGTAGCTAGGATTTTAGGCTTGAGCCACCATCACCTGGGTTGGATTCTCATTTCAAGTGAAGATGACCACTTATACACAAATATGTAATTGTTCTATGTATTGTGTTTACCCTTATTTGAAATCCATTGTATTTCTTATCACTGCTTTAACAAATAATCAAAACTCCAATAGTTTTTAGCTTTAATTTCTTTGTGTCAGTACTGGGCTGAACTCAGGGCCTCAGGCTCTCACTTACCTTTGTTGTTGTTGTTTGGTGGCTAATTGGAGATAAGAGTCTCATGAACTTTTCTACCCAGACTGGTTTTATTTTTATTTATTTATTTTCCAATCCTGGGGCTGTCCCTAAACTGTTTAGCTCAAAGCCAGTGCTCTACCACTTCAGCCACAGTGCCACTTCCAGCCTTTTCTGTTTATGTGGTGCTGAGGAATCGAACCAAGGTCTTCATGCATGCTAGGCAAGCATTCTACCACTAAGCCACATTCCCAGCCCCCAGACTGGTTTTAAACTTCAGTCTTCAGATATCAGCCTCTCAGGAAGTTAGGGTTACAGGTGTGAGCCATCAGAACCAAGCTTGAGTGGTTTGAAACAGTACATATTTGTTATTCCCCAGTTCTGGAGGTAAGAAGGTTGCAATGTGTCTCACTGGGCTAAAAGCAAGGTGATAACAGGCTGATTCTTTCCAGAGGCTTTAGGGGAGAAACTATTTCCTTGACTTTCCTAACTATAGAAACTGTCTGCTTTCCTTGGCTCATAGCTCTTTCTTCTATCTTCAAAGCAGGCAGTGTAGTGTCCTTAAATCTTTCTGACATCCATTTCCATCATCACCTGTCCTTTTTCTAATCTGGCTCTCCTGCCTTTTCCTTTAGGGGCTCTTGTGATTCTCTTGAGCCCATGCAGACAATCTGGGATAATCTCCCCCAATGAGATTGTTAACTTGATCTCTTCTGCAAAATCCCTTTCAATTTGTAACAAATTAACCAGCTCTATGGATTAAGACTTGAACATCTTTGGATGGGATGTTATTAGGGCATGGGCATTTTTGGAAGTGAGGTTATTTAGACTTCCATTTGCAGAAGGAAAGAAGGAAGGAAGGAAGGAAGGAAGGAAGGAAGGAAGGAAGGAAGGAAGGAAGGAAGGGAAGAAGGAAGGAAGGAAGGGAGGGAGAAAGGGAGGGAGAAAGGGAGAAACCGAGGGAGAGAGGGAAGGAAGGAAGAAAGGAAAGCAAAGAAAGAGAAGCTTACAGCTTAGAGAATTATGGACTCGAAGTAGGAAGGCTGATTGATATTAAGACCAGACAGAAAACTGCCACATGCTCAGCCAGGAAGATTCTGGTGGGGTGTAGGGACAGAATACATTTCAGAAGACAGTTTGTCTTGGGAACTAGTTGTGTTAGGTAGGAAAGAGCTGAGCATAGAGAGGAGATGATGGATTGATGGTGATATCTTTTAGAGGTCCCAAAGGGAGGAGTATGGCAAAGATAAAGAAGGCAGGCAGAGTTTATCCTAGGAAGAAAAGGAACAAGGAACATTCTCAGTTTCCCAGTTTATAGTTTCTAAGATCTTGATGTCCAAGACAAAAAGACATTTTGAGAGATCTCACAAATAAAAAAGAAGAATCTCACAAGGTAGAAGTATTCCAAGGATTTCTTTTTCATAAAATAGGATAAAATAGGGAGAAATAGAGAGAAACAATTACTGCTTCCCACAGGGGGAATGGGATGAAGATACTAAATGGTGGTTCTCATCAGGGGTCTTTAGACTTTCTAAGCTAAGGGACTGTATATAATCATGTATTCTGGCACTCCCTAGACTTTAGAGACAATAGGTTTAGAGTGGGTCACCTGTCAGCTTATCTTTATTTACTTGCTTATTTAAGCAAATGGAAGCCTGAATAACATCCCCTCCAAAAATGCCCTACACATAAAATGTAGCTAAAATTGGTCTTATTATTTGTTAAAATGGTAATGTGGTCTTAACTTACCTAAAACACAGGGACAGGTAGGTGTGAGTTTCCAAACTTCTATTTAGTTGTCTATTTCACAGTTTGCAGCTTCTTAACACCTTAAAGGAGGCACACTTGCATATTTTCTCTACAACTCCCTAGTCTGTTATTTAATTATACTTTTGTGTATGCCTGTGCTGGTATCCAGGCCTGAACTCAGTACCTCAAACTCAGAGTCTTAGCCTCTTGCTCAGCTTGCTTGTTCACTTTTGGTGCTCTACCACTTGAGGCGCCACTCCAGCCCAATTCATTACTTTTTTTTGTAGTGGCTTTGAATTGGGCCCTTGAGCTTGCTAGGCATGTACTATCTCATTTGATCCAGGCCTCCAACCATTTTTGCTTTGTTATTTGAATAGGATAGCTGATATGACAGATGCACAGCTTTTTCCTTGAAAGGAGTTTCTTACCATTTTTTTTTTTTTTTTGTGATCATCCAAATCTCAGCCTGGTAAATAGTAAGGCTTACAAGCATGCACCACGCAGTCCAGCTTCTGTTAATGTATTTAACATGTTAAAGGAGAAAGTGATAGGAGGAGAGCTTGTGAGTAAGATTTATTTTTTCAGTTTTGACTTCCCGGTTCTTATTCATTATTTTTAACTTTCCTGTCACTTCATTTATCTATCCTACCTTATAGACATGTGTTGTATCTAAAACATCCTAGGAACATGCAGGAGAGGTACTGTGGAGGCAGGAAGGTCTAGAAGCCTCTGACTCTTAGATCTCTCTCCTTTCTGTGGGCATGCATGTGCCCATCCTCCACTTTGATTTCTAGGTTACCATCTGTTTGACCCTAAGTTCTCCATTTCCAGATAAGAACTGCGGGCTCATCCGGTGTCTCTGAAGCCAGAGTAACATTGATATGTATTCCACAGCAAGTTTGTTTTTTAATCAGTCCTGAAAGCAAGAATTTAAATTATAGAGCAGTTTAGCTACTTGCATAAAGGGTCCACAGCCGGCACATGACAGAGCAGAAAGAGTTATGTTGGCTTTTGTTGCATGCATGTAACTTACACACTTAGAGATAAGGATGTTTCCAGTCTCTATCTCCCTATTTTGAGCAGCCAGCCAGCTTATCATCTGAGGGGCTTGGAGATATGGAGAAAATAATAGCAGACAACAAAGGCTCTTCCTATCTTTTGAGAAAGTCTCAGAGGAGGATCCATCCTGAGTGCCTCCAAGAGAAGGAGAAAGGGAAATTTTAAGGAATCCAACTAAGCAAGCACATCCCCCAAAGAAGGAGAGGAAAGAAAGCCATCAGGCTCTGATGTCTGTCCCCTGACAGTCCTGAATGGGGCTCACAGAGTCCAAATCCAAAAATCCTTACAGACTGGGACGATGATTATGGTTTCAGTACCAGAGAGGACCCTGACTGGAGAGTTTATTTTTATTTTATTGGGAATCACTAATAGTGCAAGTTTTATTGTGAACACTCCATAGATGCATAGTGTACTTTTATCATGTGCACTGCTGTATTACATTCCTTTAATTTCCTTCTCTTTTCCTCCCTTTTCAAACAGTATTTTGTGAGTTTCATTATGCTTTATGTACACACACACACACACACACACACACACACACACACACACAAGCAAATAGAGCCCAGTTCTACTGAGAGGTTGAGTCAGGAAGATCACGAGTTCGAGATTAGCCTGAGTTGTATAACAGGTTTTAGGTCAGCCAGGGCAATGTGATCCAGGGTCCAAAAAAAGAAGTGCAGGACTTCCTGAAAGTGGTGGTCTCAGGGGAGAGACTCTGGACTGGGGAAAGTCAGGACTGCAGGAAATCAGGGGTAGGGGTGTGTGTGTGGGGGGGGGTATTAAAAGTATTTTCTCAGAGACGAGTTCGAAAACAATGGGAAGTGGGAGGGACAAGGTGCCGGCGGGGGTCTCTGGCAAGCCCCGCCCCGAGCCAGGGTACCCGCGCTAAGAGAAGCAACGCGGTTTGGCCGCTGTGGGGCGCCGTAGCCCGCGCTGTTGCCAAGGGAACGGGCCCAGCGCCGGACGAGGCCCAACCCGCCCCGGCCTGGCCCGGCCGCGCATCCCGCCCGCCCGAGCTGGCGCGGGAGGACCCGGCGGCCCAACCTTAGTCCGGGATGGGTCCTCGCTCTCGGGCCTGTGGCCTCCCAGTCCCGGGGACCGACACCACCGCGGAGGTCTGAAGTGCGGCCGGCCTGGGCAGGGCGGCCGGCCTGGGCGGGGCCGAGCCTCTGGCTGACCTTGGCAGGGCCAGTTTGGCGCTGCTGCCACCGAGAACAGGTGAGGAGCCGCCGCGGCTTTGCTCACCCCCGAGCCGGGCCGGGGCCGTGGGGCCGGACTGCGGCATGCCCGGCAGGGCTCTGGGCTCGAGCCTCGGGACCTGGCCCAACGCGAGGCTTCCTTCTAGAATTGTTCAGGTTCGCAGCTACGCACCGGGTGCCAGGTTCGGTGCCAGGCGCGGGGCCACGGAAGGCCCGAGCCAAATGCCTTCCGTCTCCACAACCCCCAGACAACTAAGGAGGGGTGGGGAAGCAGGCGCCAGACACATGACATACGTGATTTCCGATCGGGAAAGTGCTCCGGCGCTGAAACGGAGGGGGTGGCCGGGGAGGGTCCGCCTTGGAAAGGTGACTTTTAATCTAAGACGTGGAAGTTGGACAGGAGCCAGCAGTGTGAACAGCAGAAGGGCGTTTTTCTAACGGAGGGAAAAGCAAATACAAAAGATCTGAAGGCAGTAGATATTAGGATGGGACAGAAAGGGCAAGGGCTCTTGAAGGAAGGCCATGCTGAGAGTTAGAATTTCGTCCTAGCAGGTTGAGGAAACCACTGAAAGTTTTGATGGGTGTGTGTGTGTGTGTGTGTTGGTACTGGGGTCTGAACTTAGGGCCTGGGTGCCATCCCTGCTCAAGGCTGGTCCTCCACCACTTGAGCCACAGCTCAAGCCACCCGCCTTTTGGTGGTTAATCAGAGATGAGAGTCTCATAGACTTTCCTTCTCTGGGCCAGCTTTGACCCCCTATCCTCAGATCTGTCTCCTGAATAGTTAGAATTACAATTGTGAGCTTCAGGCCACCTGGCAAGTTAGTGAGTTTGTTTCCTTCCTTCCTTCCTTTCTTCCTTCTTTTTTGTGTCAGTTGTGGGACTTGAACTCAAGGCCTGCGCACTGTCCCTGAGCCTCTGTGTGCTCAAGGCTAGAACTCTCCCACTTGAGCCTCAGCACTATTTCCAGTTTTTGAGTGGTTAATTGGAGATAGAGTCTCACAGGGATTTTTTGACCCCCGCTGGCTTCCAACCCATCCTCAAATCTCATCTTCCTGAGTAGCTAGGATTACAGGCATGTGCCACCAGTGCCCAGCTAGGTTTCACATTTTTAAAAGCTCATCTCAGTGTGACTTCTGTGAAGAAGTCATCTGCTGGCTGTCCTGGTTCTGCCTGTCTAGCTGTGCCTCCCAGGACATACTTTGTCTGAGACTTGATTCTCTGGTTTGTGCAAGGAGGATGTTGAGGGTGTTATTTATAAATGAGTGCCAAAGCAAGGGGCCATCCGCATTGGATACCAATGATTAGATGGGTCTACGAGAACAGTTTGAAATGATAGAGTGTTTTGAGGGTTGAATTAAGTGAATTCCCTGGAAGCACTTAAGCAGTGCCTGGCCTTGAATAAGTACCCTCCAAATGTCAGTGATGGCTATTATTATCATCAAAACACTGTAGGAGAGCAATGATGGAGGTTTGGTTTAGGGCATAATGGCAGTAGAGATGATGCTAAAGCATGGCTTCAGTTCCTTCACTTAAGGAGAGATGGATTCAGATATGGCTGAGTGGTGGTCCCTGCTTTTGTGGAACTTGTGGTTAGAAAGGTCTGTAAAGGGGCAATCACCAAGAGATAAATAAAAGCAACAGTGGTATTTAATTAGCCTGTTTCCCCCCCCCCCCTTTGTTTCTGTTTTTCTTATTTTGTTCTGTTGCAACTTTGTTCTTAAAGACATTCTGGGTGGGTGTTCCCCAAGGCTGGCTCTTAAAATCTTTAGTTGATTTCCTTGTTAAAATCCACAATCCTTGCCTCCTTCATTGCCTTGTCTCTGCTTCCTGTTGCTCCCTCCTCTTTGTCTTCTTGTATTAATCTGTATTTCCACACAGTTTGTAGTGGTTGCTGCAGGAGAATGGCACAGAAATGTTTGCACACCATGTCAACTCGGGAAAGACTGAGGTTTCAAGTTTTTTTTCTTGCCATAGCAACTGCCTTCAGCATATTGTTTATGAGAGAGAAAGTAAAGAGCCCAGCCACATCTGAGACCAATGACTGGAGAGATCTTTGGGAACAACTTGAAGTTCCAGTTTATTTTCTGGGAATTATGTGCTGTGTATTCTTTAGTCAAACCATATTTTTAAGATACTCTTAATTTTTAAGATACTCTTCTGGGATCTGTAGGGAATTTGAATAAAGTACTTACCCCTAAAAGTCTCTTACAAATGATTTTTTTTTTGCATTACACTATAATATACACTATAAAGCATTTCTCTCCAACTCCCTTTATGTGGTTAAAATTGGGCATATAGCTGAGCACCAGTGGCTTATGCTTGTAATCCTACTTACGAGGCTGAGATCTGAAGATCGAGGTTCAAAGCCAGCCTAGGCAAGAAAGTGTAAGACTCGTTTCTCCAATTAACTAGAAAAAAGCTGGAAATGGAGGTGTGTCTGAAGAAGTATAGCACTAGCTTTGAGCAAAGAAGCTCAGGGACAGTGCCCAGTTCCTGAGTTTAAGCCCCAATACTGGCATATACACACATCCCCCAAAAAACAACAACAAAAATGGGAGCATGTTAAATCTCCATGAAGCTGGGCACCAATGATTCACGCCTGCTCAAGAGGCTGAGTTCTGAGGATTGCGATTTGATGCCAGCCAGGGTGGAAGTGAAGCTGTGGGTCAAGTAGTATTCACAAGCCTTGAGCAAAAGAAGCTCAGGAACAGTGCCCAGTCCCTGAGTTCAAGCCCCACAACCAGCACCAAAATAAATAAATAAATAATCTCAATGAGGATTATTTCAAAAAAATTCTGGGGGAAAAAAACACCCCCCAAAACTTGTCTTAGAAATACCTAAAGAGGGCTGGAAAGGTGGCTTAGTGTTAGAGTGCTTGCCTTGCATACATGCATTTGATTCCTTAGCACCATATAAGTGGAATAAGCTGGAAGTGGTACTATGGCTCAAGTGGTAGAGCTCTAGCCTTGAGCTGAAGAGCTCAGAGACAGCGCCTAGGCCCAGAGTTCAGGCCCCACGACCGACCAAAAAAAAAAGAAAGAAAGAAAGAAAGAAAAGAAATGCCTAAAGAAAGGCAGGCATGCTGAAACATGTCTGTAATCCTAGCTACTTAGGTTGGGGAGCAGAGGTAGGTTAGGAGCATCTAGAGTTTGATGTCAAGCCAGGTCCAATGACTGACTCATACCTACAATCCCAGCTAGTTAAGAGGCTGAGATGGGAGAATTTCAGTTTCAAACTTTCATGGCAGACAAATTCAGGAGACCCTTATCTTCAGTTAACCAACACAAAGCCAGAAGTGGAAGCATGGCTCAAGTGGTATAGAGTGCCAGCTGATCAAACCAGGCAAGCAAGTAGGACTTCAAACCATTGAGGCCTTGATTTCAAACTCTGGTACCAGCATTTTTTTTTCTTTCTTGAGGGCTAGGAACTTAGTTCAAGAGGTAGAATGTTTGGTTAATAGGCTCAAGGTGAAGCCCCAAGTACAATATCCAATACTGAAAAAATGAGAACAAACAGAAAGAAAAGCACCCATTGACACAGACAATCTCTCACAGGAAGTGCAGATTTTCTAGGAAAAAGAAAAGATGTTTGGGACAAAACAAAACTGTCTGTGGAGTGCACCTTCTAGGTTCTGGGTATCATAGGGTATTGAGCTAGACCCTTGGCCAAGAATGGGAGCAGGGGTCGGTTATACTGCCTAGGGTCTGGTTCTAGTTTTGGTAAGACCCCCTAACAGAGAGTGCTGTGGCTCTTCCTAAAAGCTCAACAGCTCAAAATTGCTTTCAAGAGTAATGAAGCACTTAAACTAGGACCAAACACTCTTGTTACATGGTTGTTAGGCAGGAATTCCTGGTTTGTCTGGCCTGGAAGTGCATTTGATTTACAAGACAGCCCAGGGGGGCCAAGAGGGCAAGGAGTAATTTGTGTTAATTAATTGTATGTATGTGTATGTGCAGTGTGGAATTAATCTCAGGGCTTCTGAGCTGTGCTGCAAGCTTACTTAAAAACAACAGCAAATGTCTATAAATTTAAAAATTTAAACAGTACAAAGGGTACAGAGAAAAAGCAAATCTCTATGTCAGCCTTAGATCTAAGGCTACTAGATCTCAGAGGCAGAAAAGGGTTCTGTCTCAGATTCCCTGGTGCCAACCTTCTTTTCCCCATCAGTGGGGCTCTTCAAGCCCCCACTTCAGTCCTTCTCCTACCCCAGACCAATACCCTCCCAGTTCCTTTGCTTCCCCCAGCAACTCTCTTTTGTAGTTGAGTTGATTCTGGAGTCCTTAGACATCTTGCAGGAATCCAGAGCTGCCCTTCAGCCTTCCAGACCTAGAACTTTTTACTTTACTTGGGTTCCTTTGACAGGGCTATGTATAAATTTCCAAGCAACATTCCTAATTGTGTGTGTGTGTGTGTTTCTATGTTTCCCAGGCTCAAGTAATCCCTTGTCACAGTTTTCTGATGTGTAATATTATACTTAGCTACTAAATATTTTTATTGGAACACAGGTAGCAGGAAGTGGATCTGCCATGTATCTGTATATAGTGAGAACTTGAAATATTAAGATTTCCCTCATTTAACTTACGCATATAAATTCAGGTAGCTTCACCCTATTTTGAAAATGCTATTTAAGGCATTTAACAAATGAGTATTGAATAGATTCTTGTCTTCCTGGCAATGGCCTGCACCTTGTACGGACAAGGGAGGAGCCTGTTCAGCCTTTCTGGCCTTCCTTCCTTCCTCAGAAGCCAGGTAGGTCCTTGACTTTCCAAGGCAGCAGCCTTCTGTGGCTTTAAACTCTACAGGGCTCCCTTGCTCTTGGCTGTCCTCTATCTCTGCAAGCCTGACTCTGTGGTTTGTTCTTTGGAAGCAGAAGAGAGTGAAGAATGTTTTTACCAAGGCCCACATAACAGCCACCAGATGCAGCTGGGGGCACCACGAGTGCAGCAGGGAGCTTAGTTTAAGGGCTTGACCTTCTCCCTCTGACCATGTTCTCCCCAAGCACGGGGATGCTGGGCTGCTGTCTTCCTGAGCGAGTTTCCTGTTGTGTCACCTCTCCCCATACCAATGCCCTTCTTGCTCATAACCCCCACTCTCCCATGTCTAGAAAGCATTTATTAGCATTTTTTTTGTTTTAATTTTAGGCTGGTACTGGGATTAAACTCAGGGCCTTGTGCTTGCTGTTCTGGCATTCCACCACTAGAGCCGCGCTCCCAGCCCCATCTAGAAAGCTTTTGAAAACATTCCTTACTATGCATCATCTCCTGCTTTAAACTTGTTTTGACTCCTGGTAACTTCTTCAGCAGTGCCCAGGTCTCCCCTACTTGGCCTCCTAGGGCTCTGATAACTCAGCCCTGTAGCTTCTCAGGGTTTAGATCTCTGGGCTCTGCACCATCTCTCACACTGAATAACTGGCCTATTGCAAGCACTGTCAAAATGCCCCTGCACTCACTGTCCTGATGGCAGTCTCTCAGGATCCCCAGAAAAGCAGTTGCTGAGGGTAAAGTGCCTGTTCTTATCTATGTTTGTCCTCAATTTACACAAAGGGCTGGGCCCTGGTAAGTACTGCCTCATCAGGATCTGTGTGTACTAGCTGACCAGGTTATTGGGGAGCAGAGCCACACATTCTCAAACTAGTTTGTCTGAGAAGTGCTGAGAGGGGAGGGAGACAGGTCTGATGACAATGCTTGGCCCCAATGTGGGCCTTGGGCCCATCTTGGATTCTCTCCGACCTCCCAGTCCTTTTAATCAAAATCTTTTGGGCCAAAGGAATTTGTGGCCATCAATTCTATGAGAGAAAATGTTGTCAGTTAAAAGTTGGCTGTGGCAGGATTTGGGAGTAGGCAACATGCTTCTTCTGGCTGACCTCTCCAGCCTAACAGTATTCTGATTTGAGTGGGAGCTGCCCCCAGGGCTGTTTGCAGCCAGCCCCTGGCCTGCATGGTGACTCCTGCCCCAGAAGTCTAGGGTGCAGTAGCATAAGGAGTACCTGTGGCCACAACCAGGCAATGGGAAGGTATCAGCCATGTGCCTCTGTTTCTCCCTCAGGGTATAGGGCTCTTAGGTGTTGGGATAACAGAGGTGAAGGCAGGCTGACACTCAATCCATAGGTTGATGTCAAGATATTTGCCCAGTGATGGTGTCCCTGGAGAGCTCATGTGCAATACAGAGATTTGGTCCCAGAGTGAAACCATCCAGCCCAACTGTATCCACAGGGCTCCACCTGATGACCCATGACTGTTTCCACAAATTGGGAACAAAGATTTGCTTGCAAAAACAGGCTTGCCAGCTTTATAATCCATTTGTCACCAATTGGAGGTGACAAGATTAGAATGGCAATTCAGTGGCCTACTTTTTATAACAATGAATTGTTTGGGTGTACTCTCTTAGGAAAATAACTTCAGAATTGCTTTTATAGCCATGTGGTGGCTTTAGGGCCTTTGTAGGGCCACTGGGATACCCTGGCTCTCTAAGACCAGTACAGCCAACAGCTCACAGAACTCCAGGCAGAGGAAAAGGGGGTAGTACGGAGGTCTGAGGTCTCAATACCAAGGCTATTACAAAGCAGACTGCCTGCCAATCAAAATCCACCAGTGGTGAATCACCCAGGAAACCAATGGCTACAAAAGCCACCAAAGTGCACCCTCTACTGGAGGGTGAATAAATTTCACCCTCACAGGCTTAATACTGTGGCACTAATCAAAGTCTACCAAACTTCTGACTTGCAAACTCTCCTTCCAATGTCTGGTGCCAGAAATGGCTCAGGACTTCAAAACACATCTGTGCTTCCTGAGTGTAGCTGCTGGTGCTTGCAGGAGGCAAGCAGAGCTATTCAGTTGGCCTTTTTGAAGATGTCAACAATGTACTCTTCATGCTAATGTGTAACAATTATGCCAAAAGGTGTCTAGCTAGCATGCTGTGTAAATGCAGAAAATGCTTACAAATTCACTATGATGGGAAAATTCATTCTCAATTTCCCTTTTCTTTTTTCCTTCTATCATTAGTTCTGAATGGTAGATACTTTTCTCCCATGGGCTCAAAAAGCATCTATATGATTGTGAATAGAAAAATAGGGGGACAAAAATCAGGCATTGATAATTTGTCCATTTTCATTTATGTGTTTTTAAAAGTATAAACACAAAGATAAAGCATGATAGCAAGATAAACTGTTTTAGTGAATAAGTTTCAGCAGTTCAACTTATAGCAATTATAGATACACCTGTTAAAATTTTCTGGACAGTGCCAGTATTTGGATTTTTTAAAATAATTTTCTTATTGACTAAATAAATAGTAACATTTTAAATATATATATATATTTCCCAGTCCTGGGGCTTGAACTCAGGACCTGGGCACTGTCCCTGAGCTTTTTTTGCTCAAGGCTAGCACTACCACTTGAGCCACAGTGCCACTTCTGGCTTTTTCTGTTTATGTGGTACTGAGGAATCGAACCCAGGCCTTCATGCATGCTGGGCAAGCACTCTACCACTAAACCACATTCCTAGCCATGCTATATTTTTCTACTGAGTTTGCTAGTGTGTTTTTATTTTTATTTTTGTCGGCCGTGGGGCTTGAACTCTGGGCCTGGGCGCTGTCCCTCAGCTCTTCAGCTCAAGGTGAGTGCTCTACCACTTGAGCCACAGCGCCACTTCCGGTTTTCTGGTGGTTTATTGGAGATAGGAGTCTCACGGTCTCTCCTGCCCGGGCTGGCTTTGAACTGTGATCCTTAGATCTCAGCCTCCTGAGTAGCTAGGATTACAGGCGTGAGCTACCAGCACCCGGCTTGCTAGTGTGTTTTTAATGTTGTATGATGTGCTGTTCATAAAATTATTATTATTGTCTGTGTATGTGTGCTGGTAGTGGGGCTGGGTGCCTCATTCTCTCATTTGGTTTTTCACTCAAAGTTGGTGCTTTACCACTTGAATCATGCTTCTACTTCTGGCTTTTGCTGGTGAGAGAGGAGTCTCACAAACTTTTCTGCCTAAGCTGACTTCAAACCATGATCCTCAGATCTTAGCCTCTTGAGTAGCTATGATTACAGACATGAGCTACCAGGGCCAAGCAAACATTTTTTAATTAAAAAAGAGAGAGAGGGCAAAAGCAACTTCAACCAGCTACTTCACTTGGGACATAAAACTTGTAGACTATGCACCATAGCCATACCTAGAGCTAGGAAGACAAACCAGGAAGTTGTTGAAGGGACAAAAAAAAATCTGCAACTTAGTGAACATTTTCATAGTAGACATTTGCCCACAGTGTCACTGGTTGAAGCACCACCTTCAGAAGAGCACACACAGTCTCTCAGCTAGGAAGTACAGAGCCAAAAGTGAAACCTAGATCTGTTTCCTTTAAGGCCAGAGCTCTTCCTCCCCTCCCCACCATGTGTAGCTTTTTATTGAAGAGGAAGGTGACTAGAAGATTCGATGAATCCCTGGGAGAAAACTAAGATCACTCTATTTAGCTTTGGGATGAGACCACTCACAGATGACTTCAAACACCGCCAAGTTTGACCAGATGAACCTCAGGAAGCTGAAGAACAGAGCATCTAGGAGTAAATGTCCGATGGCCTGTGTGACAGCCGGTTGGCAGAGGGAGTGAGAGTGGATGGTGTGATGGGACTGGTGACGGGCACAGGATGGCCCTGTGCATGCAAGAGGAGGAATGGAAATGGGGCTGAGGGAGCCAGATGGCAGAAGAGAGGGCAGGTTTCCTTGCCATTTACTTTGCCCACATTTCCTTTTATTTCAGATGTTTTCAAGTCAGCAAACATTCACTGAGCATCTACTACATACAAGATACAGTTCCAGCAGCCTGGGGGAAGACATATGGGGACAAAGGTGAATGACTCACTGAGTGTTTACTGCCTCCGAGGGCTACAGATATAAAAGGGGGATACATGGGAATGACGACATGATACAAACAGCAAAGTGAAAGTCTCAATAAAGACCGAGCAAAAGGCTCCTGATTCTAGGACATCAGAGAAAGCTGGTCAGATGAGAGGATGCTTGAAGTGGGCTCTGAAGAGCCAGGCACATTCATTGTGCTAGGCAGTGAAGTAGGAAAGTAATCCAAGCAGATGTGCCAGGGTGGCATATACCATGCCTTTTTTGCTTAGATTGCTGGCCTATAGGTAAGGGCTCCTGAAAGAATGTCCAGCTGCCAAGGTTTTGTTTCTTGCTCCAGGCCTTCTTATTGAGAGTTCAAAGCTACCCTGCCTCCCAGGTGTGATGCTTCTGCTTGGATTGTAGTCCCATCTTGGGTTCAGAAGATACTGGTGGGTGGGACTCTCCCTCCTTTAAGGATGAGCCCATCCCTCCCTGCTCCCAGTGTATCCTCAGACACTAAGCCAGCTGTTGGGCCAAGGGGAAGGCAGAGTTGGAGGTGGGGATGGGGATGGGGGGTGGTGTTTGCTACCATCTGGTGGTTTGGCTCTAGCCAAGACCTAGACTTTTCCTGAACTTCCTCAAGGGATTCAAAAGGACATTAGGCCACCTTTCTAGGTAAATCTGTATACCAGGCCTGGATCTGCTTAGAGAAACACGGTCATTTCTGCTGCTGGAAGGAAGCAGAGGGGACTCCTCCTCCCTTCTTTTGTGCATTGACTTGTTCCCAGCCAAGAAGCCTCAGGCAGCCCTTCTGAAGCCTGGAGTGGAAGTTCCTGGCCCCTCTAAAAGGGATTAAGTGTCTGCTGAGCGTGGCTGAGGCCAGATCCCCCTTCTGACCCCCACCCCACCCCCAGTTCCCTTAGCAGAGGATAAGGGGCCCTCTCTGACACTTGCATTTGGATCTCAGGACGGAGGTGACTAATCCTAACAGAATCAGCATGTGTTCTCATCCCTCCGGCCCAGCCTGATATTGTTACCAGATGAGAACATGTCTTATTGGGTTTCACTTTGATGGCTGTGGAGACAGCACTTTGAGTAACAGGCAGCCACACTGTGTCCTGAATCACCCTGGACTCTCCTTTGTTCTGGCCAGGCTGGGGCAAGCTTGCTCTGGGGCTTTCGGACAGCACTCCATTCCCACTTCCCACTCTCCCCTACTGCCCATCTCTTTTGGGATAGGACCCTAGGTTGCCCCCAAGATTTGAGAGGTGGCTTTGTGTCCCAGCTGTTTCCCCCTACTAAATCCTGGCTGCAGAAAAGGGATCCTGGGCTCCTACCCGGGCCTCTTCATCCTAATGCTCTCTCCTTTTTCTCTCTCTGGAGATGAACATCTGTAACAAGCCCTCCAACAAGACAGCCCCTGAGAAGAGCGTGTGGACAGCACCTGCGCAGGCCAGTGGGCCCTCCCCAGAGCTGCAGGGCCAGCGGTCCCGCCGGAATGGGTGGAGCTGGCCCCCTCATCCACTCCAGATTGTGGCCTGGCTGCTGTATATCTTCTTCGCTGTGATTGGCTTCGGGGTCCTTGTTCCTCTCCTGCCTCACCACTGGGTTCCTGCTGGCTATGCTGTATCCTTGAGAAATAGTGGAATTGATGCACTAAAGTGTAGGGCAAGGGATAGCCAGAAATCAGTGGCCTGAAGCTGGGCTCAGAGCCTCAGGAAGCACAGGGTGGGGCAGAAAAGTATGAGCCAGATCCTTCTCTGTCTGGCCTCCAGCCCCCACCTGACCCCTCATCTGACAGAGCGACTAGCCAGCTCTGAAGTACTGTGGAGCATTTAAAACTCCATTGTAGAGGCACTGCAGAAGCCCACAGAGAAGGGTCTTAAAGCTCTTTCAGCCAGGCTGAAAGAATTGACAAATTAGGGATTGATTATTTCATTTGTAAAATAATTTGTCACGGGAGAATTCTTTTACATAGTTTCTTTCTTGGTATACATAAAATGTGGTTTTGTTTACAAATAGATTATTATGCTATACCCAGACTGTTTGTAGTAAGCTCACTGATTTTTTTTTTAAATTAAACCATAGCCAGGCATTGGTGAGTCATGCTTGTAATCCTAGCTTCTCAGGAGGTTGAGATCTGAGGATGGAGATTTGAAGCCAGCCTGGGCAGGACTCTTACCACCAGAAAACTGGAAGTGGAGACGTAACTTAAAGTGGTAGAGCTCCTGCCTTGAGCAGAAAAGCTCAGTGACAGCACCAATGTCCTGAGTTCAAACTTCATGACACATACTCTCTTTCTCTCTCTGTCTCTCTCTCATACACACACACACACACACACACACACACACACACACACATTAACTCTTTTAAGGTAAGGGGAAATATGACCAAAAAGTAGCATAGAGGTGCCTTGGAAGCTCCTGTGACTGCCCAGCCATGACTACAACTCCTAGGAGCAATGGCTTGGTGTTCTTTTCGTATCCTGGAGTACAACGGTGAGTTTGAAAACCTGGGATGTACAATCACCTTCCTTTGTCGTAGCTCAGCTCCTCCAGGATTCTGCCTGGCTGAGCAGCTTCTCTGACTCTCTGGGCCTGCCCTGTGTGCCTGTAAGGATTCTGCTTGTTTTCTCTTGGGGGGAAGGGAGGAAGAGCATACTAGGAAGGTCTGAGCACTGGAAGCCCATGGTGAGGGAGGGCACGGAGAGGAGGCAGTCATCCTTACAAAGTGTCATGGTGGGGCTTCCTGGTTGACTGGAGCCCAGCTCTGAATGAATGAAAAGCTGGACTTTCACAAGTTGACCAACCGACTTTAGTGAGATTGAGTGGAAGTTTCATGGACATTCATCGTATGGCTGGAGTAGTTCCATCCCTTACTCAGGATTATCTGGATTTCTGCCATCAGGGTGCCTGGGAAGTCAGATGAATGAAATAAGTAGGGTCAGAATAAATAACAGCAAACAAAACTAACTTGCAATGATTGAGTACTGTGTCAGCTAAGACAGGTATTCTCACCACTTTACTAATGAAAAAACAAACTCAGAGAAGGCAAATGAGTTCCTAAGGTCACACAGCTGGTACTCAGTGAGGCCAGAAGATCTGCTCAGGGAACCTGACTGAGGAAGTGGAATGGTTTGGGGGTTTGTTTTTTTCCCCTAATTAATTATCACTCGCAGAGTCACCAGGTCTAGAACCCTGACTAGGGCTCTGTGCAGTGTCTCAGAGTTCCTGAGTGAGATAAGGTAATGTATATACCAGCTTCTTCCAGGGGATTAAAACTGGCCTATGCTTTAGAGATGCAAGATGAACTTTGTGTGCTCAGTGGCCAGCTAGATAGAGGCAAAGCTGGCAGGTTTAACATGGCAGTCACACCGAATGTTAAGTGTGTGATAGAGACTCAGACAGCAGACTGTAGGAGCAGAAGGAGACCATCTGCACCTATCCCGCACATACCTACTGCTCACAGCTCTCCCCTCCTTATGTACTGTTGGCAAGAGGACTCCTTTCCTCCTCTGTTGACATCCAATCATCAAGTCCTATTTATTTTACCTTCTTAGTAGCTATAGGATCTGCACTATTTCCTTCCTGCTGCACTCTGCCTCTCTGAAATCGCTGGCCATTTAGTTACACTCTTGGCCTTCTTCATTCCTGAAGCCAGAGTGCCCTTTATAAAACCTGAAATCTGATCATATTTCCAGCTCAGAACCCTGTAGTGGCTCCTTCCTGCCTTTAGGAATGAGGCTGTCTGCATCTGGACTCTGCCTGTCTCCTAAGCTTCCTTTTACACGATTTCCCCCGTTCTTTGTTTCAATACTGTGTGTCAATGCCTGGAAGCTCCTTGTTCCTCTCCCTAGACCAAACACCCAGCTGAGTCAGAAGTCAAGAACTTGCAGTTTATAGTGTTCAAATTTTATAGATGTGGAGGAATAATTAACACACAAAATACATAGATCTCTTCCTACAGGTGTTTTTTGAAAAGTACTTATTTCTTTAACATTGAGAGGTAGCACATAAAACCTGACTTCTAGGGCTGGGAAGGTGGCTTAGTGGTAGAATGTTTGCCTTGCATGCATGAGGCCCTGGGTTCCATTCCTCAGCACCACATAAGCAGAAAAAGCTGGAAGTGGTGCTGTGGCTCAAGTGGTAGAGTGCTAGCCTTGAGCTGAAGAGCTGAGGAACAGTAACCAGGCCCAGAGTTCAGGCACCATGACCAACAAAACAAAACAAAAAAACCTGATTTCTAGTTCCATTTGAAAAGCTGGAACTTGGAAACATGGGCCTTCATTCTTTTTTTTGGGGGGGGTGCTAGTCTTGGGACTTAAAATTAGGGCCTGTGCTCTTCCTGAGCATCTCTGTGCAAGGCTAGCACCCTACTACCTGAGCCACAGTTCCACTTCTTGCTTTTTTAGTAGCTAATTAGAAAGTCTCACAGATTTCCTGCCCAGGTGGCTTTGAATCTTGACTCTCAGACCTCAGTCTCCTGAGTAGCTAGGATTGCAGGTGCGACTCACCAGCACCTAGTAGGCCTTTATTCTTGTATGGCAGTCATGAGCTGACACCACACATCTTCCACCACTCTGGCACCTTGCATGTTCCCAGTAGCCACAGCACCCAGCCAGTCCCCTCTCATCTACACTACCTCCAGGGCTGGCTCTCCATTCCTCTCCAAGTCTCAGCCAAGATAATACTGCCACAGGAAACCTTCTAGGGCCCTTAAGACTAGATGAGGCCACTCAGTTACAAATACCCATACCTACAGTCTTCTTTGTCATTAACCTGTCATTTGGTTAATATATGAATTTTGCACAAGACTGTAGGCTCCTCAGGACTGGGGACCAGGTCTTTCCATCTTCCTCAGTGCCTGCTCTCAGTAAATATTTGAAAGAATGAACATAGTAGGTGGGTGAGAGAAGGGTAGGAGCAGACAGGAAGCTAAAAGTTTGCCCACACTGTGTCTTTGAGAGGTTGGAATAGTGAGATACAGCAGCTGATAGTAGCAAGAGACAGGAAGGGGCCAGAGGAAGAAAAGAGCTTTGGCCCTGAGCTGAGGCATGAATGTCATCAAGAGAAACATCAAGAGCAATTGTAGGAGTTTTAAGAAGGGAAGGCTTTAGTGTTTTCAGTGTATACTGCTTTAAAAAAAAAGGTGGCTGGTCCCAGGGCTTGAACTCAGGGCCTGGGCACTATTTCTGAGCTTCTTTTGCTCAAGCTAGCACTCTACCACATGAGCCACAGTACCACTTCTGGCCTTTTCTGTTTATTGGTACTGAGGATTGAACCTAGGGCTTCATGATGCTAGGCAAACACTCTACCACTGAGCCACATTCCCAGCCCTGTTTTTCCTCTTTCAAGTATTATACAGCACATTAAGGCATGGCCTGGCTCATGCAGAGATAGGAACAAAGTTGAACAGTTGCTAGGTGAAGGATGGATGAATGATGGATGGGGCCCTAATAGTTGAGGGCAGATGTCTGCCTTACTAGCAAGAGAATGGGGGAAAGAAAAAATGGATGGGTAGAGGGTGGGAGGATAGATGTCAGCTTGAGTGGAATCTAAGGCTGGGTTTTTACAGTCAAACTTGCAGCAAGTTGTCAGCATATTCATTGGCATTTGTCTCAGTACTCAGCAGCTAGCCTTTGCAAGTGCCTCCTTCAGCTATAGGAGTTGGTCCTGCTGCCCCTCCTAGGCTCTGAACATGTCAGATCATTGCAGACACTTCAGTGTCCAGGCCCTAAGTGCCTGGACTCTAGCTGGGGGAGGCAGCAAGTGGATGAGCCCCATCTGTAAGTGATTCTCCATCTGGCCCCAGCTGCTAAAAAAAGGATGGCTCTTTCTTGCAGCTGACTTCCTGCAAAAGCAAGACAAACAAGCTCAGAATTTTAACCTTAGGTCCCCACACCTCCATGATGTCTTTCAGTCTCACTTCATCTTCTGGAATCAGAAACCAGAAATTGGCTTGAGATCAGACCAGCCAGGGCCTGGAGTGATGAGGCCAACACCTTATGGTTAGCAGCCCCAGGCACTGCCATATGAGCTCCGTTCCCAGATGCTCTTCTCTTCCATCTTGGGATCAGAGGTCTGCTGGAGAGGGCTAATTAGGAGGTGTTTTGTGGGGCTGGAGATGGCAGGTGGCACAGGGGGAATTTTTACACAATGGGAGTGGCATAGAGGTGAGGACTTATCAGCGCCCAGCTGCCAAAGTGTGGAGTCTTTAACCTACTGGGCCAGTGCATGGGGGCCATCTTTGCAGGCCACCTTGTGGTACACCTGACTGCTGTCTCCATCGATCCAGCAGATGCCAACGTGCGAGACAAGAGCTATTCTGGGCCCTTGCCCATCTTCAACCGCAGCCAACATGCGCACGTCATTGAAGACCTGCACTGCAACCTGTGCGATGTGGATGTGTGAGTGTATGTGTGGCTGTGTGTGAGTACATGGTACACATGAGTCATGAGTGTCCCTGGGGACCTGGCAGCTGGCTTTAGGGTGGAGACCCCAGGGCTTCACAGTCACCCCTGATATCTCAGAACCCTGTGTTTTACACAGTCAGAGTCTTTCAACTGGGTATCAGGAAGATAAGAAGGTGGGTGGAAAACATGAGTACTGTTTGGTACTTGCACAACTTTTTGGGGGGTAGCACTAGAGTTTGAAGTCAAGGCCTCATGCTTGCTAGGAAGACTCACTACCATTTGGGCGAACTTGTGTTAGTTATTTTTCACATAAAGTCTTTAATTTTTGTTGGGGCTGCTACAGTTGAGCTGAGACTGTTGGTCTCAGACCACCATCCTCCTTACCTCTAGCCCTTCTTCTAAGTAGGATTACACACCTAATTTATTTGTTGAGGTGAGGTTTCCCTAGTTTTTGTGGGGGCTGATCTCAGTTTTACCTCTCAAACAGCTAAGATCACTGGCAAACACATTCTGTCACAAACATTTCTCAATGACTTAAGTCTGCCAGTAACACCTCCATCTCTCAAGCACCCAGGTAGGGACAGGAGAGTTAACACTTGGGTACCGTGTGCTAAGTACTGTGTACAAACATCTGCCAGGTGGGCAGCAGTTTTCTCCTGTCACAGAGGAAGAAGAGACACAGCTTCTAAGCAGGATCACAACCCCAGTTACCTGCCCAACTCACTTGGGGCAGGGGGCAGATTTTCTTTCTGTGTTATTCATGAGAAGTCTGAGGCCCCAAAATGGCCAAGTGAAGTTCCACCAATCCTCCTCTGGCTAGGGCTCTTCTCTCCTCTTCTGGAGCTTTCTAGTTTCCCAGCCTCAGGTAAGGGATGAGGCATAGGGCTGTTTGTGTAGCCCAAGGCCAGCCTCACTCTTGGAATCTGAAGAGTCAGGAAGCCTGTTAAAAAGGTCTGTCCACACACGGAAGAAAGCCACAGCATGGAGATATTGAGGACTTGGCAGTGGGCCATCCTGTCATTTCTAGGCACTTATTTCTAATGGTTGTGTTGGCAGTTGGTTTCTATTGCAGGGTTTGTCCTCTTCTGGGTAGGAGGGCATGATCTGTTCTTCTGCAGTCCTTTGGGCCTTCTGGGGACCCTTAGGCCTTCTGACTCTTCTGAGGTCAGACCCCTACTTGCATCCTAATAAGGCCTCCCCTCCCCTGCCCCATGCAGTGAGTTCCCTTAATGCCCACCTGGATGGCAGCTTGCACCTCTCCTTTTGGCACTTGTCTGATTAACCCACACAGGCTGAGGTTTTCTGAAAGAATGCCAGTAAGATTCGTCTAGAATGGCATGGAAGTTGACCTCAAAACAGAGCTGTAGGAAGAGCAATGAGGCCATAGTCCTGGCAGCCTTGCTTTCCCCCACCCCGGGCCCCACACCTGCATCTTCTGGCTTGGCAAAGAGGTCCTTGCTTGGAAAGGAAGCTCCTTTTCAGTTTCTCACGACCATCACTTGGTACAAAGTCCAACAGCAGGGCCTTCCAGTGCCCTGGGCTGCCCCTCTTGCTGCTTCGGGAGCGCTGCCTCCCCCAGGATCATACCCCACGGTTTCGCCAGAGGGCGCGCGCTCCCCATCGCAGCGCTCCGCTGTGGGGCGGAGCGGAGGCGCCTGGGAGGATGGACTCCAAGCCTAGCCATGGGGATCCTACACTGGCTGGTGCCCGCCTGCCCTGGCGGACTCGAAGGGCAGGATGGGCCAGCCGACCATGTGGTTCCTTCTGCCCGTAGGAGCGCTCGCTCCAAGCACTGCAGCGCCTGCAACAAGTGCGTGTGCGGCTTCGATCACCACTGCAAATGGCTCAACAACTGCGTGGGTGAAAGGAACTACCGGTGAGCCCGGCCTTAGTAGGCCCGCTTGTAGGGGCGTGAGGTGCGGGTGCTGTGCGAGCCTGCCTCCTGGGGTGCACACCATGTGTGCTGCTCTGGGGATGTGGGCCGGGGCCGTTGAGGGTGGATTTAGGGTCTTCCATCCTGCTGGCCCAGAGGAGGATGGGGAGCCTGACAGAGGCCGGCCATCTTCAGTTTTGGCTCCTGAGGACTTGGGGCTGTGGGATCAGGGCCCGTGGGCCTCGGAGCCCTCCCCGACCTGAGCTGGTGGCCCTTACACAACTGGAGCTCACTGGTGCTGACAGCTGCCCATGGCCGGGCTAGGCTTTTTCTACACAGCGTGGCATCTGCTTTACTGGGTGTCCTGCTCCTGGTGCTGGTGGCCACTTATGTCTTCGTGGAATTCTTTGTCAATCCCATGAGACTGCGCACAAACCAGCACTTTGAAGGTCAGTTTGGGTTCCAGGCCTTACTCCCCTGCCATACACCTGGTCACCAGTCCCCGCCCTGGCTGAGCACTGTCTACTTGTGCCTTGCAGTCCTGAAGAACCACACTGATGTGTGGTTTGTGTTCTTGCCTGCTGCCCCTGTGGAGACGCAGGCTCCTGCCATCTTGGCTCTGGCTGCCCTCCTCATCCTTCTGGGCTTGCTCTCCACAGCCCTGCTGGGTCACCTGCTCTGCTTCCACATTTATCTCAGTAAGTGCTCCCACCGACACCTGCCTTGCAGGGGACAGGAGTCCCTAGACTGCATGAAGGTACCTCATTAGGCTTCCAGCCCTGAAACAATGCCCTTTGTGGTGGTCTGGCCTCATTCCACAGCTTATTATTTATGTGAACAGATGTTTGAGCTTAGTACTAGGTTGGTTGTCGTTGCTTTGTGAGCTCCAGGGTCCCCCTTCCACCGCTGAGCCCTTTCCTCCCTTTCCTACCAGTGTGGCACAAGCTCACCACCTATGAGTACATCGTGCAGCATCGCCCACCACAGGAAGCAAAGGAGGCCCAAAAGGAGCTCAAGTCATGTCCGCCCAAGATGCGGCCCATTCAGGTATAGAAGTGGCCTGCAAGGTTGGTTGGGGTGTGTGGGCCTTTGTGTTTGGGGTGTGTGTGTGTGTGTGTGTGTGTGTGTGTGTGTGTGGATGGGCTGTGCATTGAGAGCCAATAAGGAGAGCGGGCCAGGGAAGCAAGCCTGGAGCAGCAACTAGAGTAGGAAATGCTGCTGTGGCAGGGCCAAGTACTAAAGGAGTAATACCATATCCATTACTACTCCAGGCATATACTGGAGGAGCAAAATATGGGGTCCTGAAATAGTCGGTTGGAGGCTGTAGAAGAGGAAGGGATGGACCAACAACCTGGTTGTCCAAACTGGAGCCATCTGTTCTCTTCATCTGTGACTTTGTCCTCTTGTGCACATTAGTTTTAGAACAGCCCAGGAGACAGTTACTAACCCATGTTGCAGATGAGCACACTGAGACCTGGAAAGGTTAAACAGAAGTTGGGTCTAGGAATAGTTAACCGCAAAGCAGGAACTGTCCAGTGTAGGCTGTGGCCTGGCCAGCCCAGCTGCTGACCAGCCTATCCCCATTCTCACGCCCCTTGGCTTCCGGAGGTCAGCAGCTGGGGATGGAGGTGGTCCAGTCCTTGGTGCCCCTAGGGACTGGGAAGGCCAGGGGCCCAGACAGGCTTTGCCGAGAAGGCTGAGCCCTGAATCTTGAATCCTCATGGCAACTGGACACAAACACAGGCTAGTGGGTGGTTGAAGTGGACTTGGGACCTTACCTCTCCTCATCACCAAGGCTGGACCCTGCCTGTGGGCTATGCTGGGGTGGTGGTGGACCAGTGCCCCTGAAACAAAGGTGTGGACCCCCTGCCACACCACCATAGACTGGTGTCCTGGTGCTGGGCACTGACCTGTGTTGACACAATTGTAGCAGACATTTGGGCCTATTGAGGCAAAGCTGGCCCTGGGGTATCCAGACTCCAGGGCTTATGCCTCTGCCCTGTTCAGGCTTTGAAGCCACATGTGGCAGCAGCAAGGATCTTTAATTTCTGTTGTGTCCATTTACAAATGCCTTGAAGGAGGCTCATGCAGCAGGAGGCCCACGCATGGCTCCTTTTACAGAGGTAGGCGAGGTCAAGGTGCTAAGGTACCATTCAGGATGATGCAAATATCTGAAGGTCTCTGAGAGATCATCTTAAGACACAGTTGAAATGAGAGATGGGAGGTCTGAGCAGGGACCTCCTTGTGACATTCTCAGACTTCCCCAGCAGCCTCTGGCCTGGTTCCTATCCCATCCTAGAGCCCAAAGACCCCAGGTTAGGGTTTTGCTCACCTCTGCTGGGCCCGGAGGGTGCCAGGTCCACACTGGGAGGGGGAAAGACGGGAGGATAATCTTCAAGTAATCCAGTCTCTGGGACTGACCTCTGACCCTTGACCCTTGTCTCACCTGCTTAGATGGGCACCAAGGGTCAGTTCAGCAGGAGGTTGGACATTTGCTTCCCTGGGACTTCAGACATTACACCCGTGCAGCCATTCATCAACAAGCCTGGCTCTGTCCCCATTCCTCCAATATGCCAGGGCTCCAGCAGGCAGCCTCCCCACCCCCATCCAGCAGGAATGCAGGAGGGGCTCCCTCTGGAGCCGTTGCCCCCAAACATAGGCTTGTTTTAGAGACAGCTTTGCTGTTACAGTGTCTTCTTTGCATTAGTCAGGACGCCTCAATCTCCATGGAAACGTCTGCCTAGCCGGCTACAGCTGTCCGTGCTCCCTTCAGCTCCAAGCCTTGGCTCCACCCCTTGCCCTGTCGCCACACCCTTCTCAAGCGGGCTTTTCCTCCTTTTGTCTCCTCACCTGCAGACCTCCCAGGTGTAGTTGGGGCTTGTCACAGGCGCTAGGGTGCTTGTCTACCTGCTCCTGTGACCTCCCAGCCACAAGGCCTTTTGCTTTGGGGGCTGGCATCAGCCTCTCTCATTTTCATCATGAGGCCCAGCTATTGGTGCCAGAAGGGGACTGTAGCACTGTTTGTTCCATCACGTACTGCCTTCCTTTCCCTAGAGGGGCAGTGGCTGCCAGCAGCCAGCAGTAGTAGTGATGGGTGGTACTCTATGAGGGCTAGGGGCCCTGGACCCAACTCTGCTCCATGAGAGCTGGCTAGCCTCGCTCATAACCTCCTGTGCACGCTCAGGCCTCTGAACAGCTGCCTGGTTAACAGGTCAGGGGAAAAAAAAATCAGTTCAGAGGCCGGAGGCCTGGGAGGGCCTTATAGCAGAGGGGCCCATTTTCCATCCCAGCCCCCAGCTGAGCAGCTGTAGCTCAGACATATTGGATCTATGGGACCATTGCCTTTATCAAATAGTAGAGTTTGACTAAATGAAATGAGACTCTGTGTTTGTGTGTGTGTTTGTGTGTGTGTGTGTGTGTGTGATTTTTTATCCTGGACCTGGGAATTAAACTCAGGGCCTGGGCATTGTCCCCAAGCTTTTGTGCTCAAGGCTAGTGCTCTTACTATTTGAGCCACAGCTCTGCTTCCAGCTTTTTGGTGATTCAGTGGAGATAAGAATCTCATAGACTGTCCTGCCCTGGCTGGCTTTGAACCTTGATCCTCAGATTGCGGCCTTCAAAGTAGCTAGGATTACAGGTGTGAGCCACCAGTGCTGGCCTGGGCGTGGATGTTTTAAGCCTCTTGTTGCAGAGGAGTTTGGTTCCCAGCACTGTGGGAAACCAGGAAGACAGTCCTAGACGCCCTAGGATGAGGCCTCCATCTTCCACAGAGGTCAGGGAGGGCTCGTACCGCTTCTGTTGGGGTGGGCTCAGACATCAGGAGGCCCTGGATCCACACCCGGCCTTCCAGCCTCCATGACCCCCACCTTCTCCAGGAGATGGAGTTCTACATGAGGACTTTCAGCCATGTGCGTCCAGAGCCTCCAGGACAGGCTAGGCCAGCTGCAGTAAATGCCAAGTGAGTGCCACTTGGGTATCTTCTAGCATAGCAGGGCCATGGGAGGTGGGAAAAAGGAAGTAGGCCAAGGACAAGGCATGGGTGTGGGTCCAGCGGAGCATTGCTCTGTCTTCTGCTTGGAAGGGATATCCAGTGGGGATGGATTTGGGGATCAGCATCCCAAACTTGTCCACCTGTTTTTTTTTTTGTTTTTTTTCCCCCAGTCCCTCACAGTTTCTTGCCACTCAAGACCAGGCGGAGCTTCCACAGCCCTCCTCCCCAGACATTCTGGCCCTGCCTCCCCAGATCCGACCCCAGGTAAGAAAACTGGGCTTGGCCCTTGGCCCAAATGAAGGGAGAGGGCAAATGCCTCTTGCCTGACCCTTCTGCTGCTCAGGAGTAGCCTTCACACTCCCCACTTTGTCTCTGCAGAAAAAAAGGAAGAGGCACACGTATAAGATGGCCATGTCAGAGATCTTGGACCCGGAGTCCCAGCTTCCCAGGCTACGAGGTGAGCAGGGTGAGCGTCCCTCCCTAACTGGGCCCTGCTTGGGGAGCTCTGAGGGAGGAGGGAAAGGCAGAGTCCGAGACTCATGTTTCACCCCACTGCGCAGGACCCCACGCCCCGGGCCGTCGTCGTGTCAGCTCGTCCACGGATTCCTCCAGCGCCAGCTCGGTGCACTCCGCTGGCCCTGCAGGCGCCTACCACTCGGCGTCCGCGGAGTCAATGGACGAGATTCCGGTGGCACAGACGCGCCTGGGCAGTGCAGCCCTGGGCGCCCCGGGGAGCAAGGGCCGGGAGTCGGGGCTGGCGCTGCAGGCGCGGGCGCCGGCCGTTTTCGTGAGCCTGAGCAGTGGCGAGCCCGGGACGCGCGGAGGCCGCGAGGGCGGCCTGCCTTAGCTGGGCTGAGCGGCGGCGGCGGCCCGGTTCTCTATGCAACACCCCACCTATACCGCACCGAGTGCACTTTAGGGGCGCCAGGCCGGCGGGGTCGGCCTCCCTCCTCTACTCAGCAATATCCGTCCCACCGGCCCCGATGCTCCAATAAACTTTTTTTTATGCTTTTGGGGACTTGGTGCTTTACTTAAAGGCAAGGGCCGTGGCAAGAGGGCGGGGTGGATCGCCACCCAGACTGGATGGAGATGGGGGTGCTGCAAGACCCCCGGGGCTCAGTACCGGGCTTGTGAGTTGGAAAGTCTCCGCCGGGAAGGTCTGCGCCTCAAACCCTCAGAGCCTGCCTCCCAGCGTCGGGGGCCGGGGCTCCACCACACCCAGCGCTTTTTCTTAGTTAGAAAGGGGAAGCAGGCTTTGTGTTTCGCAGACAACTGTGTGTGGGGGTGTGTGTGTAGGAACCGGGTAGGTAGGAGTGCGGGGAGGCCGTCCCCGGAGGCCCCGAAGCTGTCTCGGAGTGGCAGGACCACCAGCGTCGTGTGAGCGCCACTAGCTGGGGGGCGTCGGGACCCGAGCCTGGGGATGGTGGGCGTGGCCTCCAGGTGGCTGAGACCCCCACCACAGGGGAGCGATCTCCCCGGTCTCCAGCCTCCCATCTCCTGGTCCCAAAAGGCCTCCAGTTGGCGGTGTGGGAAGCTGTCTTTCCCCTAGAGGTTAGGGGGGTTTTCCTGTCAGGGGCCCTCGGAGGATGTACTGAATTGCAGGGGGCTCCGGTTAGCGCGGATCGGACTGCAGAGCTGGGGGTGAGGGGAGGGCGGAGGGGGGGGGAGGGAGAGCGGGACCCGGCAGTCCTGGGAGCGCGGCGGGCGCCCAGCCTGGAGCGGGGAGGGCGGGGTCTGGTGGGCGGAGCCAGCGTGACCTTGGTCACTCTCCCGCCGAGACAGCCTGGGGGTGGGACTCGCTGTCTCTATGGAGACCGAGAAACAGGGGATAATACGGAGGAGCCGCCCGGGCTGCAGTCCCGCCCCAGAGCCGGCAGGGAGCGGAGCTGCGGAGCCACTTGGTCTCCCGCATCCGTCGGTCCATTCCAGCGTGCTGTCCATCTGAACGCGAGCTGCGGGAGCAGCCACGAGATAGAAGCCGGTAGGAGCCGACCACCCTAACCAGTATCCTGCACTAGAAGGGGTGGGTGGAGTGGCCTGGAAGGGGTCCTAGCCCTGGACAGTTCAGAGTCCAGGACACCAGCTGAGTGTTCCAACCCCCCCAGCCCCCACCTCCTTGCTCGGCTGATTGATGACTGCAGCTGTCCTAGGAGCAGCCCGGGCGGCCTCGGCTCAGGGGTGTGGCCACTCCATCCCTGGCTTGCAGACCCCAGGGTTGCCTGGAGTTCTCCCCACCTGAGCAGCTCCGAGATTCCTAGTAGTCCATCTTCCCACAGAAAGGAGTGGAGATCCAAGATCCCCACTGGATGTAGGGGCATGCATCCTGTGGCACCCAAGCTCCCCTGGACATTATTACCCTAAGTGCACCAAAGCATAGGGCTTTGGGCTTCTGTGGGAGGTGGCACCTAGGGAGAGGGAAAGGGAGTGCAGTGCCACTGGGCTGCGATCCCCACAATGTAGTCGTTCTGGGCGCGCAGTCCCAGAAACTGTGCACGATCACAGGGAAAGGGCTTTCAGTGTCAAATACAGTGGTAGCAGGAGAGGGAAGCCAGGCAAGGCCCAGGCTATGGACAATGGAAGGAGAGTTAAAGATGGTGGTTGAGACTGAGGGTGTGGTCGGGAGGCTGTAGTAGGAGGCTGGCAGGGGTGGGGGGAGGGAGGGTCCTCAACATAGTGCCTGGGAGTCTGGAAATGCCAATGCGTGGGTCAGGGCTAGGACTGGTATGTGAACAAAGGCGACACTGAAGTTGTGGGCAGGGGGCTTGGACAAGGGCTATGGGTGAGGAGCTAGGTCGCTGTCTGGTAATGGGGGTCTGCAGGGTGTGGATAGGGAGGCTACAAGTGTGGGCTGCAGGTGCGGCCTCAGTACAGGGGCTGCGGGTGTGGTCAGGGGACTGCAGTGGACAGCTATGGGTGTGGCTAGAGGCCTGCAGTGGAGAGCTATGGTGTGGGCATCCTTTTAGTGCAGGGCTGCTGGATCAGGGGTCTCAGTGGAGGCCTTGAGGGTGGGGTGAAGTAGAGTGGTGGAAGCAGAGGAAAGGGTCAGGCCCTCCCTCAATCCCAGGGCTATGGGTGTGGACGGAGGAGACTGCAGTACAGAGCTGAAGGTGTGGTCAGGGGTTCAAGGCCCAGGGTGTGGAGGCCAGGGCTGAGTGCATGTGACTGGTGTGTGGGAACGTGGACTGATGTGGTGAGGGGTGGTCAGCCTGAGATGTAGACAGGGGGATGTGTTCTTCAATGGAGTACCACAGAACCAAAGCCCTGGTCCCACTTGGCAGCCCCCACTTTGGGAACTACTACTACCACCCCCACCCAAGGGGTTGCTTCTAATCTCCTGCTCCTCCTAAATTTCATTAACTCAGAGCTGCATCTCCAATGGGTGGCAAAGGGCCAAGAAACCACGGTTGTGCCCTAGGCACAGGGAGTGTTGGTGTGCCCCACCCCTGGGCCCCTGCTCCCCAGCCCAGCCCAGCCCAGCCCAGCAGCACTGGGAGCTTCTCCCTGAGCTGCCCTGACACCATCCTGTCCTTAGCAACATTCTCCAAGCAGCACCACACTCCCTTAGCAACTGTCTCCAGGCTTCACAAACTGTGGCCAGGCCAGCCCCAAGCTCCGCTCCCCTCATGTTTTTGTTTAATAGCAAATAGTAACAAGGCCCAGGCTGGGCCAGCTGCACCCCTGCCTAGGGCATGCCTTTCCTGCCCTTGCTCCTGCTCCCTTCTCAGGCCTGGGCTGGGGCTTGCTGGGGCTTCATGACCCTTACAGTCTCACTCCACACCTGCCCAACCAACAGCCTGGCCTGGCACTGACCCAGATTGGACATGGAGCTTCCTGGTGGCGGGGGGAGCTGCTCTGCCACCCTCACTTCCACCCAAGCAGGCTTTGTGCCAGGGCCAGACAAAGCCATGGCCCTCAGCTGCTGCCTGCAGTGTCTTTCTGGACAGTGCCACTCTGTTCTGTTCCTAGCCTGGTGTGGGCATCATGATTTCATGTTCTAAGCCCTACTCAGAGCCAGGGCTGGCTGGCACTAAGCAACAGGATTTTTCCACCCAGGGCTCTTGTGGGGACTAGGCAGACTCTAAACATGGACCCCTTTCTCAGACAGCCCAACCTCACCTTTGAAGGTCTGCAGCAGAGGTGCTGGCGGCTCAGTGCTTTGAGGTGGAGGCAGGGGTGGCTTGGGCCTGGGGGAGGGGTGGGGCAGCTTGCTTGGGAGGTGACTGAAGCGGGTCCTCACAGGCTGGCATGGCAGCAAGCACGGATGTAGCTGGGCTGGAGGAGAGTTTCCGCAAATTTGCCATCCATGGTGACCCCAAAGCCAGTGGGCAAGAGATGAATGGCAAGAATTGGGCCAAGCTGTGCAAAGACTGCAAGGTGGCTGATGGAAAAGCTGTGACAGGGACTGATGTTGACATCGTCTTCTCCAAAGTCAAGTGAGCCCTGGGCAGCCCCTGCTTCCCATGTTCGCAGGTGGGGAATTGAGGGAGGGATTCAGGGAGGCCAGCAAGAAGGGCACTGGCCTTATGGTGCCCATATGCCTGGCAGGGGGAAGTCTGCTCGGGTTATCAACTATGAGGAGTTCAAGAAAGCCCTAGAAGAGCTGGCAACCAAGCGGTTCAAGGGGAAGAGCAAGGAGGAGGCCTTTGATGCCATCTGCCAGCTGGTGGCAGGCAAGGAACCAGCCAACTTGGGTGTTACCGTAAGTGTCCCACGGATCTCTGATGGTTAATGAGAGGGCCGCGGGGGGAATCTTGGCTGGGGGTGGGAAAGGGCTGGGCTCCCTCACCCAAAGCCCTCGGGGAAACTCTGTCCATTCAGAAAGCAAAGACAGGAGGTGCTGTGGACCGGCTGACTGACACCAGCAAGTACACTGGCTCCCACAAAGAGCGCTTTGATGAGAGCGGCAAGGGCAAGGGCATCGCCGGGCGGCAGGACATCCTGGACGACAGTGGCTATGTGAGTGCCTACAAGAACGCAGGCACTTACGATGCCAAGGTGAAGAAGTGAGCCCCAGGAAGGTCTTCAGTGCTTCTGCCCCCGCCAGAGGCTCAGACCTGGGCTTAAAGGGGCACTTGGAGCAAGAAAGCCTGGTCTCCTCCCTGCTGGACCTGCCACCCAGAGCTTCCTGCCCAGCCCCATGGGGCCAGTCCACCAGGCCTCTGACCCAGACTACTCTGTGTCCCCTTCTTCCACTCTCGCCTCCCCTGACCTCTGTTGGGGGACAGTCTCTGCCTATAGCCTCACCACCCTAGCCTGGTCCCGGGCATGGCTGATTCCTGCCTGCTTGCCTCATATTTAAGCTGCTGCTCTGGCCAAGTGCCTAATTCTTACCCAGACCTCAATAAAGACACCTTTTGTACCAATATGGCCTGCTTGGGTATATGATACCTCAGTATCCTCCCCTCAATATTATCCTCCTGTATACACATCCTATATATTCCTCCTACTGGCAGCCCTGCCCTGGGAAAGTCATATGAGTCCCTTCCATTAATGCAATGCCTCAGATGCCTCTTAGGGAAATCAAAAGCTTTTAGCTGGGCTCTGACCTGGAGTCCTGACATAGCCTGCCCCTCTGCAGATTTGGCTCGCTCCACTTTCCCCGCAGGAGGAGGGATGAGACAGAAGACATGTCCTGGGCCAAGCCTTGGCAGAGGTCCCAGGGCCAGGCAGAGGCCCTATGCCTGCCAACAGGGGGCTACCAAGGTTCCAGCCCAGAATTTGTGAAAATGTAGGTTCAGGAGATACTTTAGCAAGTATATCATTTTACTCTCTAATTGTATAAATAAGGAAACTGAGGCCCAGAAGTAGCAAGGGTTTATGATCAAGGCTTTTACCTCCAGGCTGAGCTCTCTGTGATTTTCAAAAGTGGGGTTGGATAGCCGCTGACAACCTGACATCCCACTGCAAGGGGTCTCCACTCATCTGATTCCTCTCATCTGTTCACTGTCCACTGCGGAGGGTGAGGTCTGTCTATTTTTGAGGGCTTCTGGGGTTCCCAGATCAGCTGCTGCAAGAGACCCTGGATGCTGGGTCAGTGTTCTTCCCAAGTATAAGGCTTTGGTGCCAACTCTTTCTTTCCGCTGTGACAAGGAGTCAAGGGCTAAAGCAGGCTTCACAAAGGCACATGCTCTCTTTTCTGTCCCAGACACAAGGTGAAGTAGCTCAAGTGTTATCCTTCAACACTTTGGCTGTTCTGGGATATTCTGCCCAGGTCAGCCTAAATCCCTTAAGCCACCCACTTGGGAATGGGAGGTACAAAGGAATGGTGTTGCTTGGACATGGATGCAGGGATGTCAGCTGGGAAGCAGAGTGACTGTCAGTGTCTAGCCTTAGCAGAGCTTTGTTCTTTCAGCCTCCTGTAGTCACTAGACTGCCCATGAACCCCAATATCTGAATCTGAGCTCCAGAGAGTTCTGCTTCTCCCAGCTAGCAGGCAAGGAGGGCAGTCTGAATGGCAGGCATACTTCATTGAGCTTGGTGGGAAACCTAAACTCGTCTGGCTCTTACATACTGGGAGAGCTTGGTGAAGAGTTTACCTATATCTGAACTGGGCTTTGCTCCCGGCTCCTCCACTTTAACAGCCTGCCCTTTCCTGTGACTCACTGTGTGGCTTGGAGGGACCCATAGCGAGAACCGGCTGACCATCAAACACTACCTGGTAGGATTTGTGAAACCTCTTTTTCCTAAAAAGCTGAAGGAAGCTCAAAGGGCCACCCAGGGCCAGGAGGACTCTGAGGAGACCAAATGGTTCTCATGGAATCTGGTATGTGTCATCACCCATGTTTTTCTCCCATTTGCTCCTGCTATCGGTAGAAAGCCTTGGATTCCCTCCTAACAAATCCAGGCTACCAAGGAAGGAGTTGTTGAGATAATGTAGTGTGCAGCATTAAATCCCTTGAGGGAGAGTCCAGGCCTCTGTGAGGACCTCACCCTTCCTCTGGGCACAGAACTTCCCCAAGGATTGTCTCCACCCCAGGCCAGTTTTCTTCTCTCAGTGTCTTGCTTAGGGTGAAGAACCTTCCACTGGGTTTCTACTTCAGGACTCTTATGTGTCTTTCTGGGTTTAGTCACCCTGTAATTCTTTGGCCTTTTCCTGGACATCATAACCCTTACCCCTTGCCCTAAGGACTAAGTGCCGCATAGGGAAAATCAGAACCAGAGCTAACTTTCCCAGGAGTGGCCAGCAGCCCAAAAAACTGCTGAAGAGTGTTAGGGCAAGTGACAAGGAGAAAAGGTATAGAAGGTAGCTTAGTCTGGGTTAGGTTCTTTGGTCATCCTTAGAAGCCCCCTGAACAGATTTTCTGGGGTTGTTATTACCTGACACCCACATTAGAGACAGGAAGGGGAGAATGATTTAAAAAAAGAAGCATGTTGCTGGGCACTTGTGACTCACGCCTAGCTACTCAGGAGGCTGAGATCTGAGGACCACAGTTCAAAGCCAGCCCAGGCAGGAAAGTGCTGTGAGACTCTTATCTCCAATTAACCACCAGAAAACTGGAAGTAGTGCTGTGGCTCAAAGTAGTAGAGCTCTAGCCTTGAGTAAAAAGAGCCTAGGCCCCACAACTGACCAAAAAAAAAAAAAAAAAGTAGTATGTTATGGGCTAGTATATCACTATGTGACCACTGGCCAATGCTTTCCTTCCTGGAAAGATTTAGGCTGTTGGTAGGGTGGAGGTGGATTCTCAGTGGAACAAGGTTAGGCCCAGACTAGCTGTGGGTAAGGAGGTCATTCTCACTGCTGTTCCCACAGAACAGATCCTTTGTATGCTTCCCTTGTGTGGAGCCACACAAACTCCAGATGTCTGTGGAGTTATGTATAACTTACAGGTCTAGAGTCTTGAAGGCTCAGAGTGGCACTAGGTCTCCTTTCCTGTGCAGCATTAGAATCAGGGCACAGATGAGGCTCTAACCCTGTCAATACACTTTCTCCCTGATGTGACCCTAAAGGTGACAAGAAGTGTGACACCTTTTACCCTCTTGTCACATTTGCTGCCTGGGAGAAGGTAGAAGCAGAAACATCTAGAACTACCTGCTTTCTACTACTTACTCCTAAAGATAAAATGGTCACTGAGGACAGGCTGGCACTAAAGCTGCATGCCCCTGCCTTCCCCCTGCCTTCTTCTCTGCTGCCAGCTTCTCATGGCTTTTACCTATATCAGCAGTCCCTTGTCACAGAGGAAGCCTCAAACATAGCCCTCACTTTTCTGCCCTTGAAGGAAACTCTGCAAGACACCACAAAATGGAGTGTCTGGCTCCCTTCCTATTATCAGCCCTTCAATTCACAGTGGACCACACCTCCTCCTCAGGGCCTGTGTGCAAAAGTGCCTCCAACCGTAGCTTTTCTTTCCCTTTGCTCCTGCCCGGAACCACATACTTTGCCTAACAATCTCCAGCTTATTCTTCCTGATACTGAATTTCCCACGCTCAGACTGGGCTGTTCTATTATACACTCTCACAGTACCCTGTCCACCCTCTCCCATGTTTCTTCAATGGGCTCCAGACTATACTCCAGGCCTGGGGGTCTCTGTATCCTTTCTCCCAAGATCTCTCCCAAGATCTCTCTGAGCCTCTCCCCCTCCTTTCCCCCCCACCCCCACCTCATCTTCTTTTTTGCAGTGCTTTTGCTTAGACTGGAACCAATCTCAAGCATCAAGCTCCATCACATGGTATAGTGAGCTCTTCTCCCTGACTAAATAGTGGGCCACTCTAGGATAGACACCAGACATGTCACATTTTTACTATGGCATGAAGAAATACCACATGTAGTGAATCAATATAGAATCTCTAAAATTTCTTCTGATACAGAAGACACCTGATAGACATTATCTTGCATCTTTCTACCACAGTTTTGAGTGGCTGTGGCAAAGTGCCCAGTATTTTTTTTCCTTTTCAACATTTTCAGTCAAATGCATCTGTGTGATATGATGCCTAAGACTAACAACTTCTGAGAGTAGAAGGAGAAAAAAATGACCCAATGGATGGAGATAGTAGAGAAATTATAGTCAGGCACCATAATCCTATAATTTTAGCAACTCAGGAGGCTGATCTGATGATTGCTGTTCAAAGCCAGCTTGGGCAGGAAAGTCTGTGAGACTCATATCTCTGATTAATCACCAAAAAGCTGGAAGTGGAGTTGTAGCTCAAGTAGTAGACTGCTAGCCTTGAGCAAAAACTTAGGTATAGTGCCTGGGCCTGAGTTCAAGCCTCAGGACCTGCACCAAAAAAGAAAGAGAAAAGAAAAGAAAAATTATAACAGAGGGACAACACAATGTAATCCAAATAAGCTTTTTCTTAATCTTTGGGGGTAAACACCACCACACTGTGGTGATGGCTGAGTCCTCCAGGGACCAGAGGGAGGTGGCGGTGAAGGTGTTCCATGCTAGCTCCACAAACTAGGCTCTGGCGCAGCTTCTGAGACACTCTGTATTAGGTACTGACCCGTGTCGTGTGCCATTGGTGAGGAGGAAGATAACGTGCTCTTCCCAAAGGGCGATGATCTCCCCAGGTGGTGACTCTTCTCTGGAGGCAAGAGCGCTTTCCCAGAATAACCTTTTTGCTCTTTATTCAGCTGCTGCAGTAGATATTCATTAGTTACCACCAGGGATCTGCAGCCCAGGGGGGAAAAGGCAGTCATGAAATCACGAAAGGGAAGACGCCGCCATTCAGGTCTGAAATGTCGGCTAAAGACAAATGTAACATCTTTCAACACAAGTGTCCAGGTTATGAGTGGGTTATTTTAAAAGCAGACTTACCCGTTTCATCTTTACAATTCTGTTTGACTGGGTTCCAGATATTTCCTATGTTAGAGAGTGATTTCTCTCTTCTTCCCAAAAGCCCTTTCATGATGAGCTAAGTGCAAGCACTAGGATTTTGGCTCCTGATCAGGCCTCTAATTTCTACTCCTAAATCAGAGTCTCTTCTAATCTGTTCCCTTCAACTAACCAGTGCTAGCTGTCACTGCTTTTTCTATTATTTTGTAGTGCTAAAAGCCACCCCACACATTGGCTGTAAAAGTGATGCATACACAATGCTGTGTGTTACAGCACTATTCTATTTGAAGAGGTATATGGGCCAAATCAAAATTCCCAGGATAATATCATCATAAGCCCAGCTCATGCCTGTAATCCTAGCTACTTAGGAGTCTGAGATATGAGGATCATGGTTCAAAGCCAGCCCAGGCAGCAAAGTCCACAAAGCTCTTATCTCCAATAAACCACCAGAGAACTGGAAGTGGCGCTATGGCTCAAGTGGCAGAGCGCTTGCCTTGAGCTGAAGAGCTGAGGGACAGTGCCCAGGCCCAGAGTTCAAGCCCCATGACTGACAAAAAGAAAAAGAAAGAAAATCATCATAAAACTCATGATTAGATACAACGATTAAACTTTCCCAGTGCTCCTAAGGTCTTGAGGCCTCCCCCAGGTCCCCCAGCCTGCATCCTAACATGCTCTTCTGTGAAGAGGCTGGTATTACTGAGTGACTCTGAAGAGGATGCATAGTTTGGATTCTTTCCCTCTTACTCCCCACTTCTGAGTGTTCTCGATTCATCGTCTATGACCATTAGCTGGCAGACATTTTCCAAAGGAGCCAGATGGCTGAGTTTAGGGGTACAAGTGTCCAAAAAAAAAATTACCTGACCCAAAGGTCCTGTTAGACCCTGTAAAATCAAGGTGTTATAACACACCAATGCCAGTAAAGATGCTTAAGTCCATGGTGTATAAAAGCAGTACTGAAAAGCAGCACCTTGCCTCCTTGAAGTTTCCTGGCCAGATTTAGGAGGTTTATACACATAGACTATTGTTAACATGAAGAAATATATTAACTCTGCAAGCAAAGCAGAAGAGGTAAAGAGAAGTAAACATGTACTTCTAGAAGCCAATGAGACAGACCTCCTCCTACCTCTGACTTTCATGAAGAAGGGCAACTGTCTCCTCTAGCTTTTTCAGCTGGGCAAGCTCTTGGTTCAGGCAAGTCACCTGCATGGTCAGCTGTTGGTTTTTGCGCAGAAGATCATCTACAAAGGGTACAGTAGCCAGAGGTGAGTAGGATCCCAGGTGATTGCCTTTAGTGGGAGCTTATATTGGCAAGAATAATGGGGTTTAGTAACAAAGTTGAATTAAAATTCAAGCACTTAGTATTGTACATGTAAGTTCATCTTTTTGAGTTTCACTACGAGGATTCAGGGAGACTACAAGACCTCGCTGAGCATAGGCAGTCAGCAAACAGTAGGCCCTCTGCATTCTCCATTCTGGCTTGTGAATGGATGTCCTTCTCTGAGTGGTTTGTGAAAATATCTAGAACGCTGTCAGGTACAAAGTAAGAACTCAACAAGGGGCTTACAGACAAGGAATTTGTGGTTAAGACATTCATACCTACCTCTGTAAATATGCTACCAATGCCTGCTATAATGAAGTAAGAAAAGCACAAGAACCTGACCCAAAAGAGCCAGTCTTCTAGAAAAATGCTTCTGAAAAGTTAATATGCCTACCAATCATCAGGGATCTTGTTAAAAATAGATGCCAATTAAGTAAGTCTGAGAAGAGCTTCAATATTCTACTTGCCTAACAAGCTCCCAGGTGAGGCTAATGTGGATCAGTTTTTAAGTAGCAAGATTCTGGAAGGTGGATTCTGGCTAATGTGGATCAGTTTTTAAGTAGCAAGATTCTGGAAGAGTTATGGCAGTCAAAATGCTATACCAGGCCTCATGGCTGAGGGATGAAAGGATGTCTAGATACCTACTCCTTTTCAGAATAGGCAAGTGGAGACTGAGCTTGTGAATATCAGATAGCTCTGAGATTTAGCAATGGACTTCAGTGCTTCCAAATCAAGTTCTTCACAGCAATCCTGATGCCTGTTATTTGATTAGGGAAGCTAAGCTAGAGGCTTAACGTTGATAGAAGATAATCTAAAATACTGGCCTAAAAGTAGTGCAAAGCAAGACTTAAATGGGGTTCTATCTTTCACTTGTCACATGACAAAAACATTAAAAAAAAACTACTCAGTGATAGAGTAAATAGGTATTTACACTGCTACTGTGAGGGTAAAAGACAATCACCTTTCTTGAGAGTGATTTGGCAGTGTGGAACAAATGTCTCACAAGTGCCCATAGCTTTTGATACACTAATTCTACTTCTAGGAACATCTCCTAGGAAAATAGTCTAACATGTACACAAAGGTTTGTGCATAGATATTTATGGTATTATTTATGATAGTATAAACATTTGGACTTTCAACTCCATCAGAAGGGAAGAAACATGATCTGAGAGAAGCATTTTCATTGTGGAGTGACTTCTACTTTGGAAACTCTTTAGAATTACTCAGATTCTCTCTATAATTATATTTATCTAACTATCAATACAAGTAATGGAAGCTTTGTTTATAATAACAAAGAATTAAAAGCAATTAGTTAAACATGGTGCAATTGCAGGGAGTGTCTGCCTATGCTATTATATTTATAATATTAGAATGTCTCTGATTGCTGGGTGTGGAGAGTCAGGGACACTGATTGCTGAGGGTACCAGGGAACTTTCTGGAAATGTGCTGTATTTTGACTAGGATCAAACTTAAGATGTGCATTTTGTTGTACATAAATTATTAAAAATCAGGGCAGGCTGGGTGCCAGTGGCTCATGCCTGTAATCCTAACTACTCAGCAGGCTGAGATCTGAGAATCATGGTTCAAAGTCAGCCAGGCAGGAAAGTCCGTGAGACTCATCTCCAATGAACCATCAGAATACCAGAAGTGGTGCTGTGGTTCAAGTGATAGAGCGCTCACCTTGAGCTGAAGAGCTCAGGGACAGTGCCCAGGCCCAGAGTTCAAGCCTCATATCCAACAACAACAAAAAAATTAGGACACAAGTTTTAGTTTTGAGTCAAACCTATATGTATGAGGATAAGTTGGAAGAAAATACAGAAAAACATCAGTAACAGTGCCAGGGCATGTGGCTATATTTTCTATAGAGAACATGTTCTACTGCTGTAACTAGAAAAACAAATATTATTCTCCAAAATAATGGCAATAGGCCAGGCATGGTGGCTTAAGCTTGTCATCCTAACTACTTGGGAGGTAGAGATGGAGGATTGGGGTTTGAGGCCAGCCAGTACATAAGAATTCTAGGGATTCCATCTCAACCAATGGCTGGGCACTGTGGCCTGGGCCTGTTATCTCAGCTCCTGCGGAGCATAGTGTCTGACTGCAGTGGCACATACCTATCATTCCCAAAGACAGGGGAAACACGCAGAATGTTCACAGCTCAATTTGGCTGGGGAATAAATAAGATCAGACCTCAAAAATAATGCCAAAAGCATGGTGCTGGTGGCTCATGCCTGTCATCCTAGTTTTACTTAGGAGGCTGAGGTCTGAGATTCATGGTTTGAACCCAGTCTGGGTGGAAAAGTCCATGAAACTCATTTCTTCAATTAACCATCAAAGGGGTTGGGGATTTAGCTCAGTGGAAGAGCACTTGCCTGGCAACTGTAAGGCTCTGAGTTCAGTCCTCAGATCTGGGGGGAAAATACCTATAAAAGACCAAAATAAAGGGCTGGGAAGGTGGCTCAGTGGTAGAGTGCTTGCCTTGCATGCATGAGACCCTGGGTTTGATTCTTTGGCACCACATAAGCAGAAAAAGCCGGAAGTGGTGCTGCGGCTCAAGTGGTAGAGTGCTAGCCTTGAGCTGAAGAGCTGAGGGACAGCGCCCAGACCCAGAGTTTAGGCCCCACGATCGACAAAAAAAAAAAAAAAGACCAAAATAAGGCAAGTTGCAATTAACCATCAAAAAGCTGGAAGTAGGACTATGGCTCAAGTGGTAGAGCACCAACCTTGAGTACAAAAGCTCAGGGACAGGACCCAGGACCTGAGTTCAAGCCCTAGGGCCAGCATTAAAAAATGCAAAAAAGCCAGGAGCCAGTAGCTCATGCTTGTAATCCTAGCTACTCAGAAGGTTGAGATCTGAGGATCACAGTTCAAAGCCAGCCCAGGCAGAAGTCTGTGAGACTCTTATCTCCAATAAACCACTCAGAAAACCGGAAGTGGTGCTGTGGCTCAAGTGGTAGAGCGCTCGCCTTGAGCTGAAGAGCTGAGGGACAGCGCCCAGGCCCAGAGTTCAAGCCCTATGACTGACAAAAAAAAATGCAAAAAGAGGCTAGAGGCATGGGTGAAATGGTAGAATGCCTGCCTTGCAAGCACAAGGCTCTAAGTTCAATCCCCAGTATTCCCCTAAACAAATAAAAAAGCTAAAGCATGCTGATGGTTTCCATTAATGCACAAGGAAAAATAATGAGAGCAAGCCAAACATAGCTCTTGTGGCTACTGAAGCTGCTTAAATAGGTTACTTTGGGAAGTTCCATAAGGAACCTTCCTGAACTTACCGTGTGTATGGGACTGGTGCCCACTCACAATCGAGATGGCAGAACCTTCCTCCAGCTGCTGAATTTTTTCTGACAAAATGAGGTTTTCCTCCAGCACTCTGACCAGTTTTTGTTTCAAACTTTCCTTCAGATCAGAAAACAAAACACCACCACATTAAGAATCTGAAACCTTGAGGAAGGTGTTTAGAGGAAGACTGAGAGTCTCTCCCTCTAATTAATGCTAACTTGTTGAAGTCAGCGTCAGTGGGACTTTCTCGCTACAACTTCAGTTCATTGGTAGACACTGCTCAAGTGCAGTGAACCAATTCATCATATGGAGTCATGGTCTTTCTGCGGATTATCCACACGACTCTTGCTGAACAGGTGGTGGCTGGAATTCTGAGATGTTCAAAGTTTCTAGAACTGAACTTGGTGTTTAAATATCCTGTAAAATGTTAACAAAGGACAGAAGCTTGGGAGTATCAGTTTTGTTTTTTGTTTTTGTTTTGTTTTTTTCAGATTCAGCAGCTTGATGCTCTAGCCTGGCCTCTGGCCTCTAATCTCACTTCCTGGCTCCATTAGAAGGGAGAAAGGACAATCTCTGAGGCCTCTGCCATCCCTTACTGGCCACACCATAATCTTCCTTCAAGAGCATGACACTATGCACTTAAAAAAATTTGTTTTTGGTTACCCGGGCGCCAGTGGCTCACGCCTGTAATCCTAGCTACTCAGGAGGCTGCGATCTGGGGATCGAGGTTCAAAGTCAGCCCGGGCAGGAAAGTTCATGAGACTCTCATCTCCAATAAACCACCCAGAAAACCGGAAGTGGTGCTGTGGCTCAACTGGTAGAGCCCTCGCCTTGAGCTGAAGAGCTGAGGGACAGCGCCCAGGCCCAGAGTTCAGGCTCCACGACTGGACCCAAACAAAACATTTTTGGTTTTTTTTGTAGGCTGGGGGCTTGAACTCAGGGCCTGGGTGCTGTCCCTGAGCTTTTTTGCTCAAAGCTAGTGCTCTACCACTTGAGCCACAGGTCTACTTCTGGTTTTCTGGTAGTTAATTGGAGGTAAGACTCTCATGAACTTTCTTGCCTAGGCTGGCTTTGAATTGAGATTCTTAGATCTCAGCTTCCTGAATAACTAGGATTATAGACATGAGTCACCAGTGTGAATCTACTCTACCATATGCATTTCTTACTTGCTCTGTGTGCACTACTCTTGGTGCTTGAACTTTGGGCCTGGGTTCTGTCCATTAGCTTTTGTGCTCACAGCTAGTGCTCTAATACTTGAGCCATAGCTCCACTGTGACTTTTTTTTTTTTTTCTGGGTCCGGTCATGGGGCCTGAACTCTGGGCCTGGGCACTGTCCCTCAGCTCTTCAGCTAAAGGCTAGCGCTCTACCACTTAAGCCACAGCACCACTTCTGGCTTTTTTCTTTTTGCTTATGTGCTGCTGAGGAATTGAACCCAGGGCCTCATGCATGCAAGGCAAGCACTCTACCACTGAGCCACCTTCCCAGCCCTCCACAGTGGCTTTTTTGGAGATAAGAATCTCATAGACTTTTCTGCTGGACTGGCTTTTTTTTTTTTTTGTCAGTCATGGGGCTTGAACTCTGGGCGCTGTCCCTCAGCTCTTCAGCTCAAGGCTAGCTCTCTACCACTTGAGCCACAGAGCCACTTCCAGTTTTCTGAGTGGTTTGTTGGAGATAAGAGTCTCTTTCCTGCCCGGGCTGGCTTTGAACTGTGATCCTCAGATCTCAGCTTCCTGAGTAGCTATAGCTAGGGTTACAGGTGTGAGCCACCGGCGCCCAGCTGCTGGACTGGTTTTGAACTTCAACCCTCAGATTTCAGCTTCCTAAGTAGCTAGAATTACAGATGTGAGCCACCAGCACCCAGCCATTTACTTCCCCCTCCCTTTCCTTTGTGATTTTTTTTGGGGTTGTTTTGTTTTGTTTTTTTTTGGTCCCGTCACGGGGCCTGAACTCTGGGTCTAGGCGCTGTCCCTCAGTTCTTCAGCTCAAGGCTGGCGCTCTAGCACTTGAGCCACAGCACCACTTCCGTCTTTTTTCTTATGTGGTGCTGAGGAATCGAACCCAGGGCCTCATGCATGCAAGGCAAGCACTCTACCACTGAGCCACCTTCCCAGCCCCTTTTTGGGGGTTTGGATTAGAATAAAGGAGTCATCCCTATAGAACCTCCAAGTCGTCTCTATCCTGCCAAGTTTTGTGTTCCTGAGCTGTCCAGCCTGACTGTCCCATATTTTGCCTCCTAGGTATAGGTAATGATTACCTGTCTCTGTCCTTTTCTAGTAAAGTGGAGAGACAAGGGTGAGTGAGCCATACCACATCGCTAGGGACCAGCTGTCCAGCCTCCTTTGAGTCACTGTCCCGCCTGCGGAAGGCTTTCCCGGCATCTTCAGGATGGGTGCGACCCCACTGCTGAGGAGGACCAGGAACAACCAAAGACAGAAGCAAATCTCGGGCAGGACCTGCCAAAAATTCAGGTTGGGCACAGCAGCCAAACTTGAAAACTAAGGCACAGGATTCCTAGGCAACAATTACCGGCTCTATCATCTAATGATCTCTTTTCCCCAAGAATTTAGCAAGTGACTGGTAAGAGGTACTTAGTGTGAATAAGAAGCAATACCCCACTTGCTCTGAGGAGGAAAGCACAAGCCTTCCCGAGTCACTCAATGGCCACAGAGCACTATTTTCCTATAAAAAGGGAGCAGTAAGTCAACACGGAAGTCATTGACTGTGACTTCTCTATTTTAGTTTTTCAGTGTTGGGGAAATCAAACCCAGAGTTTCATATCAGCTAGGCAAATGCTAAACTAAACCTTCAGCCCTTAGAAATAATAATAATACTAAAAAATTCCCAGCACAAACAACTTGAAAGTTTTTAGTTGTTACTTAAACTTTATTTTGCTAACAAGTGAAAGTTCTTTGAATTCTTCTCCCATTAAACAACAAATAAACACGTGGAGCCAACATTTGCAAAACTATCTTTTCTCCATGTATCCAAAACAATCCCTCAAAAGAGTCTAGGCCATTTATTTACTTGAGTAATTTAGATCGTAACATTATAATAGTTATCTCAGAACTGGAATAATCAGACCTAATTTCTGTTGTTTTCATTACTGACTAATGTATCTCTCAAGGAGATTAAATCTTTTTTTTTTTTTTCGGTCGGTCATGGGGCTTGAACTCTGGGCCTGGGTGCTGTCCCTCAGCTCTTCAGCTCAAGGCTAGCACTCTACCACTTGAGCCACAGTGTTTTCTTAGTGGTTTCCTGGAGATAAGAGTCTCACAAGCTTTCCCACCTGGGCTGGCTTTGAACCTTGATCCTCAGAGCTTAGCCTCCTGAGTAGCTAGGATTACAGGCGTGAGCCACCGGCGCCCGGCATAAAATCTTTTTGTAATTATTAGTATGATCACTATTATACATATCTGGCCATTCTATATGTTACCAAAGACTACACCCACACCCACACACATGCATATGTGTACATACACATATCATACACTCTTAAAGGAGGAACAAAACAATTGCTCAATAACAAGCAGAAAGAGTGCTCATTTTAAAAAGAAAATATAAATGTAAGAAAAATGCCAACTTTTTAACCATGGTGTCTTTAAAAAAAGTTTCCTTGCAAGTTGAAGCTCTGTGGCTTTTAGCAGAGCACTAAGCAGAAGCAAAGTCCCACCCTCCCCAGACACAAGACGACATACACTCACCGAGAAATTTCTTGTTGAGGAGGAGAGAACCAGAGCCATTCCAGTGCTTATCCACAAGCTCCAGGAGCTGTCTGAGGACAGTGGCCACATGAGGGGTTCTGGCAGAGATTGGGGGACTGTGGTTTCCTGGCAAACCATGCAAACTGCCCAGGTCACTTGAGAGAGGCTCAAGAAAAAAAAGCAAAACCCTCCAACCATTTGTCATTCTTACACAATAAGGGAAGTAAGATTCCAGACATTTAAAACATTAATTTTTTTTAAAAGAAAGGTTTCATCTTTCAGTTTTAATTTGAATAATGCACTATTTATGTCCAAGGCAAACATTTAAGATATTCAAGGACAAGTTCAAAGGTAATAGTATCTCCTATTATTATTTTCTATAGGGATTCTCAGAATATAATAACAATAAGAATGCATCAACACTAACATTATTTTTCAATATATTATGTAATATAGAAAGATGAAACTAGAGAACACTTAAAAATTATAAAGTAAAACTGAAGTCCTGGTGCCAGGGTCTCATGCCTGTAATCCTAGCGACTCAGGAGGCTGAGATCTAAGAATCATGTTTCAAAGCCTGCCCAGCAGACAAATCTCAGAGACTCTTATTTCCAATTACCCACTAAAAAGCCAGACCTGAAACTATGGCTCAAGATGGAGAGTAAAAGCCTTTGCAAAAAAAACTAAGGGATATCACCCAGGCCCTGAGTTCAAGCCCTAACATTGACACCAAAAAAAAAATAAATAAATAAGGAAAATTGAGAGTAATAAGATGTTCTAATTCACAATAATCTTTTAATATGTTATATAATAAACATAAATATCCTGTAATTTTTTTCATGGGACTGGAGTTTAAACTCATGGATTTTCACTTACTAGGCAGGCACTCTAGGCAGGTAGGGGTATGACCATACCCCTAGCCCTTATTTTTTTGTCCGTTGTGGGCCTTGAACTTTGGGCCTGAGCACTGTCCCTCAGCAATTCAGCTCAAGGCTTTACCACTTGAGCCACAGCCACTTCCAGTTTTCTGGTGGTTTATTGGAGGATAAGAGTCTCATGGACTTTCCTGCTCCAGCTGGCTTTGAACCATGATCTTCACATCTCAGCCTCCTGAGTAGGTAGGATTACAGGTGTGTGCCATCTGTGCCTGGCTTCCCTTTTTTCTTGAGTTAAAAATAAAACTAAGTGTTCTCTCCCCCGCCCCCTTTTGGATAAGGTTTTTGTCCAGGACTTTGATCCTCCTATTTGTGCTAATATGCAGAGCTGGAATGACAGATTTTCTTTTCAGAAGCTTTCTGGCTTGTGGCATATTACTTTTTTTTGTTTTTTGTCGGTCATGGGGCTTGAACTGTGGGCCTGGGTGCTGTCCCTGAACTCTTCAGTTTAAGGCTAGTGCTCTACCACTTGAGACACAGCACCACTTCAGGTTTTCAGAGTGGTTTATTGGAGATAAGAGCCTCACAGACTTTCCTGCCCGGACTGGCTTTGAACCATGATCCTCAGATCTCAGCCTCCTGAGTAGCTAGGATTACAGGCATGAGCCACCGATGCCCTTTTATATTTATAATCAGAGACTCCAGATATATTCAGCATAGTGGTAGATGACTTGCCTAGCATGTACAAGTCCCTGGGTTCTACTTACAGGTAACTAATCCCAACCAAAAAAAGGTTGTCTTTTTATATTTATATTCAGATAGGTCTTTGAAAGCTTTCCATGTAAAAGAAACCCAGTATCTGATAATAAAGAGATGAGAGTTTTAAAGGTAGTCCAGAAAATGCATTGACATTTTAGCAATATAAAATGAAATAAATATGAAAAAAAGTCTGTAGACAATCCTACTAATATGGCATCCCAAATATCCTGATTGGTCTGTCTCTACCCTAAATGCACTCACACACAGTGATTTTGTTTGATAAAATAGGCTGAAATGGTAGGGGGGAGGGGGAGAAGAGAGAGATAAAAAGTTATAGAAAGTATTACAAGACCGCCCCCTTTGGTGCATGGAAATTATAACCATCTCCAAAGTTATAAAAACTGAAGCTGAAGTATTAAGAATCAAAAACAAAAACACAAAGCTTGGTGTGGTGGCTCAAGCCTGTAATCCTACCTTTTTGAGAGGTAGAAATTGGGGAACTGAGGTTTGAGGTCAGCCTGGGCATAAAAGTCTCTAAAACTCCATCCAGACCAAGGCTGAAAACAGTGGTTCATGCCTATCATACCAGCAACAAAGAAAGTACAAATAGGAGGATCACAGTGCAGGCTAGATCAGGCATTAAGCAAGTCCCTATCGTGAAAATACCCAACATAAACTGGGTGCTGGTAGCATATGCCTGTAATCCTAACTACTCAGAAAGCTGACATTTGAGGATCATGGTTCAAAGTCAGCCTGGCAGAAAAGCCCAAGAGACTTTATTTACAATGAATTAGATATGTGGGACTCACTCTTAATTTTGTTTGTTTGTTTTTTTTTGGGTCCAGTTGTGGGGCCTGAACTCTGGGCCTGGGCACTGTCCCTCAGCTCTTCAGCTCAAGGCTAGCGCTCTACCACTTGAGCCACAGCGCCACTTCCGGCTTTTTTCTTTTTGCTTATGTGGTGCTGAGGAATCGAACCCAGGGCCTCAGGCATTCAAGGCAAGCGCTCTACCACTGAGCCACCTTCCCAGCCCCTCACTCTTAATTTTGCATTAATTCTCTGCACCATCCTTTAGCTAAAAAGTTCCCTGAATAATCTAACTAATTTATCTCCTTGCTGCTACTTACTTTTTTTGGGGGGGGAGGGAGAATTGTTTGAATTTCTAGAAAGCAAAGTAAAGCAATGCTTTTTTATTTTTTTGTCAGTCATGGGGCTTGACCTTTGGGCCTGGGCGCTATCCCTGAGCTCTTCAGCTCAAGGAGAGCACTCTACCACTTGAGCCACAGCACCGTTTCTGGTTTTCTGGTGGTTAATTGGAGATAAGACTCTCAAGGACTTTGCTGCCTGGGTTGGCTTTGAACCATGAACCTCAGATCTCAGCCTCCTGCGTAGCTAGGATTACAGGCGTGAGCCACTGGTGTCTGCCCCCCACCTTTTTTTTTTTTTTTAAAGAAAGTTAATTTATCCTTTTCTGATGCCAGTAGTGAGACTTGAACTCAGAGACTTGTGTTCTCACTTGGCTTTTTTTCTGGTTAAGGCTTGTAGTGTACCACTTAAACTATTGCTCTTTTTCTGGCTTTTTGTGGTTAATTAGAGTCTCATAGACTTTCCTGCTTGAGGCTGGCTTTGAACTTTGATCCTCAGATCTCAGCCTCCAGAGTAGCTAGGAATGAGTCACCAGTGCTTAGCACAAAGAAATGTTTTTATAGGAACTATTTTAAGTTAATCACTTGTGGCTGGAAAAAAAAAGTATATATCCAATGAGATTATTTAAAGCCATCCATGTTTCAGAGATCTTCAGCTAGCCAGCAACTTCCTCATTTCTTTCCCTTGCTAAAAACTTTTGTTACCAAAGTACTTCAAAACTAAAAAGAGAAAAACTCTTAATACCAAAGTGCTTCCCTACCATCTTTAGCTCTGGAAGTAGATCAGGACAGATCCTTTGCAGGGCAGTGGGTATGAAGTGGGCATGTGACTTTCCCAAGGGTAGAAAGAATCACAGATTTTAGCCTGGGAGTTTAGCCTCTAAAAAATCTCTCAGCCTCTTGGTCAGAATTACCGTGATTCCCAACAGAACCCCATGCTGGTGGTGGAGCCTATGTGTTTCTTGTACATTCCCAAACAAGCCAACACTTGCCTCCATGCCTGTAGCATCTTGGAAACCATGCTTCGGATTCAGGTTGGCAAAAATATTGTCCTTCCGCTTGAATCCTCTCCTTGTTGGGCTTAATGACCTCCTGGCCAGAATATCTCTGTCTTCTGACGTCCCAGGAGGCAACAGCAGTGTTCTAGGAGCATTTCCCAGGACAGGGTTATTTGGGAAAGAACCATGTGCTGGTGTTAAATCACTGAGGCTGCTGGATAATTGGTGCTCAACACTGACCAGCAGAGCAGGGTCACTGTTGAAATGGGTGGCGGCATACAGATCTGGGGAGGAAAATAAATCAGGAAATGAACTTGCCTTTCAGCTTCCCAGTACCTGTCTCACACCCATCAGTATTTAATGTGGAGTCCAAATAATAATAACTACTCCCCAGCATATCTCAACTCTTGGAAACTTGCTCTCCTTCTACCTGGAAAAAACTCAACTCTGGTTACATCCAGATGTCCACATACGCTAAGCCTAGCCCACAGCAGCAGAATGAGACTGTTTTTGTTTTTGGCAGTGTTAGAATTTGAACTCAGATCCTGGCCTTAGTAGGCAGGTACTCAACTACTTGAGGTCATACCCTTAGCTCTTTTGTTTTGCCTTGGTTGTTTTTCCGATAAGATCTTATTCTCTTTTTAACCAGGATGAATCTCAGACTGGGATCCTGTGAAGCCGGGATTCTAGATGTGTACTACTACACTGGATTCAATAGGCCTCTGTCCTGACCTTTTTCACTAACTTGTCTGGACCCTTAGTACTGCACTTTTTTTTTTTTTTTTTTTAATATATGAGTCACTCTTCTCTATCTTGAGAAGATACTTTTACATCTCTTTTTTTCTTCAAGTTCCAGCACTAATCTTCCTTCCTTCCTTCTCGGATGCTGACCTTATTTTCTCTGAGAAAACATAGGCAATCAAAATACTACCACTACTACTACTAATAGCCAAGTGCTGGTACCTGTAATTAATCCTACCCACTCAGGAGGCTGATATCTGAGGATTGTGGTTTGAAGCTGGCTCTGGCAGGAGGTACTGAGTTCAAACCACAGTACCAGGAAAATAAACAAATAAATTATCCACTGGAAGCTGGGTGCTGGTGGCTCCTGCCTATAATCCTAGCTACTCAGCAGGCTGAGATCTGATGAGTGAAAAAATATGAAACCAACGCAGGCAGATAAAGCCAAGAAACACATCTCCAACTGATTGGGAGGTATGGCTCAAGTGGTAGAACACCAGCTATGGCTGATGAAGCCAAGTGAGATCTCAAGGCCTTGAATTCAAGCCCTAGTGCTGACTGGCGCGCGTGCGCGCACACACACACACACACACACACACACACACACACACAGAGCTTACTGGATCCCACTACTGAAGCTATCAACTCAATTGTAAATTTGTAACCATAACTTCTCTGCCTCCTCAATTGAACAGATGAACTGTCAGTGCTTCATCTACGGCTATTCTCCATTGATGGGATACATTCCATCTCTTCTTCTCTACTCAAGGATATTGTTATTTTTCCTCATAATTGTCTGCATTCTCTGCTGCATCCATTTTCAATATTCTCTCATAGAGCATTTCTATCAGCCTCTCAGGCCCTCAGCCCTCCTTCCAGCTCCATTTCTCTGCTCCTGCTGAAACTCCTTGAAGGGTTTGTGTATGTTCAGTAACTCTATTGCTATACTTACAAGTTTTTCTTGAACTCATCTCAATGAAGCTTTTATTTCCACATATCTCCCGAGGCTGTTTGCTAATATCGTTGGTATTGCCAACCAGCACGGCCACTCCCCAGTCCTGACTCCTCCCAGAGATCTGACACAGCACTAACGCTGTCTCCTCCTGAAACACTTCACACTTGGCTTTGAGGCAGCACCCTTTTACAGGTTGCTTCTTTTGCACTCTGTGTGCTGTATCACCTTTCAAATTCTTGGATGGCTCAGGTCCAGTCCTCAGGTCTCTTTCTTATCTATATTCACTCTCTAGGTGAGATTTTAATCCAGTCTCAGTTTTAATGTAATCTATACTCTGTGTGTGTGTGTGTGTGTGTGTGTGTGTGTCTGTGTCTGTGTGTGTCTGTCTGTGTCTGTGTCTGTGTGTGCTGGTCCTAGAGCTGAATTCAGGGCTTGGCCTCTATTCCTGAGCTTTTTGTTTGTTTGTTTTTTGTTAAAGTCTAGTATTCTACCACTTGAGCCACAACTCTGGCTCCCCTTGTGGCTTTTTTTGTGGTTAATTGGAGACTTTCCTGCCTTGGCTTCAAACCCCAATCCTCAGTCTCCTGAGTAACTAGGATTACCAGTGCTTGCTCACAGCCAACTTCTTCTTTGGTGGTGAAGCTTGAACTCTGGGTTTGGGCCCTATCCCCAAGCTCCTCAGCTCAAGCTAGCACTCTACCACTTGAGCCGCAGTGCCACTTCCGGTTTCTTGTGGTTAATTGGAGATAAGAGTCTCACAGACTTTCCTGCTGGGGGTTGGCTTTGAACCATGATCCTCAGATTTCAGCTTACTGAGTAGCTAGAATTATAGGCGTGAGCCACTGGTGCCTGGCTAATCCAGTGATTCTTTTTTTTTTTAAATTTAATTTAATTTAATTTTTCCAGTGATTCTTAAGGAAGATTACTCTTCTGCTTCTACAACTTATAGCCTAATCCAGAAAAAAAGGCTAGTCATCTTCTCTAACTTCCTCTATACCCTTCAGTATATTCACTGTACTCAGGTGGGGTTCCTTGACGCCCCCTGAACATACTAAGCATGTTCCAGCCTCAAAAACTGCACTTGTATGCGATTTAGAAAGTTCAAACCCTACGTATCCACATAACAATACTTTCAACTTCATTCAAGTCTACATTTTTCTTTAGTACCAGGTGACATTTGCCACCCACCAGACTTGTCCCTCAAATCTTTACTTTTATGATGCCCTGGATCATTTAATTTAAATACCACTTTGTTCTTATTATTTTCTATACACTTATTTTTCATCCCAGACCTTAACATCACCTGACATGTTCATATGTTAACTTGCTTATCATCTGTCTTACTTTATTAACATGTAAGTTCCACGAACGTAGAGACGTTTGAAACATTTATGTTAACATATACATGGGGCTTTTTTATTTTGCTACATTATCTAGAGCTAAAAAAAATCTCTGCACATAACAGATGTTTAGTGAATTTTACTGGCTAAATTAATAAGTAGTTGAAGAATAATCTTCATCCTTATCCTGAAATAAGCATTTTTTTTTAAATAACTCAGAATAGCAGTGACTATGGCCAGAGAGAAGACTAGATGCTGCTACACATAGGTCTTCGGAAGGCTACTCAACTAAAATGACAGAGTGATGAAGCTCACCATCCTACGCATTTTCTCTCACATATTTGTCATGCTAAACTCATACCCTGAAGAGGTTTAGAAGTTCCATGGACCTCTGGTGACCCTGAAATACAATTTTTTAAATGCTCGTAATTTTTTTTTATTGTGAAAATACTGAACAGAGGGGTTACAATTACATGGGCAAGATAATGAGTACATTTCTTATCAAGCATTGTAGCCTCCTCCTTTGTTTCCCCTTCCCATCCCAATTGCTCGTAAAATTTAAGAAATGCCAATATCAAAATTTCCAGTTATACCTTCTATCTTCATGCCTATAACAAAGCCATATGAACTAAAAAGAAGCTATTACCTGAACTAAGCTTCAAAAGCCTTCCGGTGCTGGAGTCTGGGTTTGACAAAGACATCAGTAAATCTCCACAGGGATGGGATGTGGCAGCTTTTATGTCATTTGAAGGCTTTATGTTATACTCTCGGAAGTTCTTGCTTCTCTGGGGCCTTTTACCATGACTTCCGTGCAGGGGTAGAGTTTGAGAATAATGACCATCATAATTTTCCAGACCGACATTGGAAGGTATCTGATAAGGATGGATCTGGCTGGAGTCACCCACATCTAGACGTTTACTCAGTGAGTCATCATGGGGAAGTTGGTAGGTATCAGGTGTTCCTAACAAGTCCTTTTCTGGAGAAGAAACTGAACTCTTGCTGTCCAAAAAGGATACCCGGTACCCATCCCTGCTCATCTTCTCTGGGGATCGGACTGTGCACTGACAAGGTGAGTAGCGTTTGAATTCTGTCTCCACCAAAGGAAAACAAAACAAAACATCATGAGGATTCCTCTTGGTTCAGCTGGGGTACCTCTGAGAAAGGCAATTACTAATTTGACAAATGGTATCATAAAGTGATGAAGGGTCTTTCACAGATACCAAAACGTATGAGATGTTTGGGTAAACAAGAAAGAGCCTGTAACACTCTGAAGATAAATTTCTTTTCAGACAAATTCCCTAGGAATTTCCTCCTCAAATGGTAGTTTCCAGATATTTAGTATACCTTCATATGATGGTAGTTGTGATTTTATGCATGGAGTCTATAGAGAATAGTTGGTCTCTGATTTCTTTTTAGACTACTTGCAATAACATTAAGTCTGCTTTACTCTTGATGACAAGGGATTTCTATTTCAAGAACAACAGATAATTTAGACTTCTCCTGTTGAAGATATTTTCTCTTTTCTTTCTTCTTTCTTTCCTCCTTCCTTTCTTCCTTCCTTCCTCCCTCCCTCCCCCTTTTTCTTTTTTCCCTTTCCTTTTCATTTTCTTTTCTATTCTTTCTTTCTTTTTGCCAGTCCTGGGGCTTGAACTCAGGGCCTCAGTGCTGTGCCTGAGCTGTTTTTTCTCAAAGCTAGCACTCTACCACTTGAGCCACAGCACCACTCCAACATTTTCTGTTTATGTGGTACTGAGGAATCAAACCCAGGGCTTCATGTATGCTAGGCAAACACTACCATTAAGCTACATTCCCAGCTCCTCTTTTCTTTCCTTCCTCCTTCCTTTTTTCTTTCTTTCTTCCTTCCTTCCTTCCTTCCTTTCTTTCTTTCCTTTCTTCTTTCTTTCTTTCTTTCTTTCTTTCTCTTTCTTTCTTTCTTTCTTTCTTTCTTTCTTTCTTTCTTTCTTTCTTTCTTTCTTTCTCTCTTTCAGTCATGGGGCTTGAACTCTGGGCTTGGGTGCTGTCCCTGCGTTCTTCAGCTCAAGGTGAGCAATCTACCACTTGAACAATAGCGCTACTTGCGGTTTTCTAGTGATTTATTGGCGATAAGAGTCTCATGGAGTTTCCTGCCTGGGATGGCTTTGAACCATGATGCTCATTTTAGCCTCCTGAGTAGCTAGGATTACAGGCGTGAGCCACCAGCACCCGGCCTTTTCTTTCTTTCTTTTTTATTTTTGGGTCTGGTCGTGGGGCCTGAACTCTGGGCCTGGGCACTGTCCCTCAGCTCTTCAGCTCAAGGCTAGCACTCTACCACTTGAGTCACAGCACCACTTCTGGCTTTTTTTCATTTTGCTTATGTGGTGCTGAGGAATAGAACCTAGGGCCTCATGCATGCAAGGCAAGGGCTCTACCACTGAGCCAACTTCCCAGCCCCTTTTTCTTTCTTTCTTATACTGGGGTTCAAACTCAGGACTTTGCATTTGTTAGGTGCTCTACCAGTTGAGCCACACCTCAACTCCAAATAAAACTGGAAAATCTTAAAAGCAGCAATGGATGATCCTTGCAGTAGTTATAGACTGCTAACTGATTTCTCAAATGTAAGCACAAAAGATAGAATATAGTGGAATAACTGCAATATTCTTG